CACCCCCCTTATAGGATCCACTGAAAAAAGGGCAGAAGGGTACCTTAAAGCCTGTACACCCTATACACCCTATACACCCTAAACCCTACCCCTACCTTCAAAAGCCACTCTTTGCGCACCCCGCTGCCCCGCGAGGAATGCAAAGCCTGCCCTTGGAGGACCTTGTGGCGCAGTATCTTGAGGCCTTTAGGGTTTAGGGTTTAGGGTTTAGGGTTTAGGGTTTAGGGTTTAGGGTTTAGGGTTTAGGGTTTAGGGTTTAGGGTTTAGGGTTTAGGGTTTAGGGTTTAGGGTTTAGGGGCTATGGTCGAAAAGGATTCTCCAACGAAACTTAGGCTCAGCATTGGGAAGTTTGAGGAACGAGTCTGCTTCATGTGGAAGCGTCTAGAAAAACTGAGTTGAAAGCCTCAAAGCCCTGGGAGTTGTAGGTGGGCGAGGGCAGGTCCGCGCGTGCAAGCACAAAGCGCGCACTTCCGATGTGCCTAAACCCTAAACCCTAAACCCTAAACCCTAAACCCTAAACCCTAAACCCTAAACCCTAAACCCTAAACCCTAAACGCCTCAACTGAAGTTCCCCGCCATGTGAACCCTTTCAGGTGCGAAGACCTGGTTGTGTCGGCCTGGATGGGGCGGGCCTGGACTTTGAGGCAGGTCCACACCGGGTCCCTTTAGGGCAATGGGCTTAGGACGATTTAGGGCTTAGGGTTTGGTGAACCTAAGGCTATAAACCTTTTTTGGGGAAGTCGAGTGTGGGCGTTTCTAGAGTTTAGGGCCCCCCTAAACCCTAAACCCTAAACCCTAAACCCTAAACCCTAAACCCTAAACCCTAAACCCTAAACCCGTTGGGGTGCACCACCCTCCTCGATGCTGCAGGGCTTCGTGAGGTGGCAGCTCCAGTGGCAGTCGCCGCTGTGGGCCGGCAGCCCAGAACATCTTCTGGTACAGGTTCTCGAGGTTTTGCGATCCACATGCCCTATACTAATCGAATTGCTTAAGAACACCGAGAAAAATGAGAAACGAAATCCTCCTTGTTAAGGGTAACATAGGGATTACTATGTTTGTTTAATTCTTTTGGGGTTCTTAAGCAACGAGTAGTATACCCTAGGCCTCGCAAAAATGCCCTTAAACCCTCAGGCCTAGGGTTTTCAGGATAGTTTTGGGGAGTATGTTCCGCCTTGAGGCGGCTCGTGCATGGCACGTAGGTTGACAAAGCATGTGGGTGTAGAGAGGAAAGGGTTTTTCAGGGTTTACTCAGTCATAGTTGCGTAACATTTTATAAATCTTCAAGGGTACTTAAAAGCCAATAAGGAATCAGAATTCGAATTTTTAATGTTCTCCCGACCATGAACTACTTTAGGATATTTTGCGTTGAGGGCCGCTGCCATAGTCCACAGGTCACCGGCACTGAGAAAGAGATTGTCGAGCATTGCCTGAAGCTAAAGGAGCATCTGATGTCGAGACGGCCACCGCCCGAGACGAGGCCAGTTGGGGCAAGTGATCTCCTGAGCCAGTGCCGAACGCGTTCGGGAGTTGCACGAACAGATAACGCGTGATGAAACCACGTCATGTCGCGTCATGAAGGTCTACATCTAAGAGGTCAGCACCATCGCCGAGAGCTCAGAAGTACGCAGGCGCTTCCATGACATGTTGCACAGTATTTGATGCCGCAATGCTGCGAGGCAAAGCATGCGACTGATGGCCCAAAGACATATTATATACATACTGTTATATCAGTATCTTCTTACGCGGATAGGAACTTTAAATGTGCAAACATGTTCATGTTTATTTTATCTACATGTATATATATATATATATATATGCCATACTCGTATATTGCCATGCTTCTCTGCGCCGCATGCGAGCCGGCGAACCTGGGCTTCGCTAAGGTCTCGCCTGCCTTTCACAAGCAGGCTGCGGCAGAGCTGCCGTCGACGCTGGCCGCCGGGCAAGGTCGGGCGCTTTTGTCTTGGGGCGAGTTTTAGAGTCGAGGGTTTGGTAGGGTTTAGGGTCTTTACGGCAGTTTAGGGTGGAGGGCTTGGGGTGGGGTCCTAAACCCTAAACCCTAAACCCTAAACCCTGAACCCTGAACCCTAAACCCTAAACCCTAAACCCTAAACCCTAAACCCTAAACCCTAAACCCTGAGTCGGGCAAGATACCCGTATCTGCGCATCAAGACATTAGCAAAGTCGGCCCTGGGAATGCTGATGCAGGCTCGTGCGGCCGAGCGGCCGGGGACCACAAGTGCGAGGACGGCACGTTGTCGACGCTACGGCTCGCATCTCAGAGGGCATCTCAGAGGGATCCCCTGAGCCCTAAGCCCTAAACCATTCACTAGGTTGCTTGTTTGGGGACATTTTGTGTTTTCCTTATTTGGGTTTACAAGGGACTCTATATATAATTATCTTTTTTTCGGAGGAACCCAGTTCAAGCAGATGCCATAGCTCTGACGCTTCCCAGCCATATGCTGGAGAACTCGCCTGGACATACCAACCCTACAGATTCAGGCAACCGATTGGGTTGAGGAGGTCATGTTTAGGAGTATCCTTCAGAGGCTTCCAAGGGCCAAGCTAGGTATGAGGAGTGATAAAACCAAAAAAGGCCTAAGCAACAAACACCCTCATTAAACTCCTGAGCACACTAAACCCTAAACACCCTTAACGCCCCGAAAGCCCCTAAACACCTTGATAGCCCAGTGGTACCCTTTTTCCCCTTTTTTGGTTCAAGGTCCCCTTATGGTTCAAGGTTCCCTTACAAAGTAAACAACCCAAAAGAGGGTGCCCTTATTAGAATATGGTTACTCGGATACCCGGACACCCTCAACACCCCAAAATCTGCGGAGGTGAGCCCTAAACCCTAAACCCTAAACACCCCTAACACCCCAAAATTTGCGGAGGTGGGCATGCGACCGCGGCCAGGGGCTTCTGCGAGCCGCCAGCGGAGGCAATTCCCATAAATTGCTTAGAAGCGCCTATATTCATCGCATGAGGGTTTAGGGTTTAGGGTTTAGGGTTCAGGGTTCAGGGTTCAGGGCTTAACTCTATAAACCCTGAACCATGAGCTTTGCTGGACGGATCCGTGAAGTGAAAGAGGTGGCCAGAGACATTGCAGAGTACGAGGCCGTGCAGAATCTGAGAGAGGACGGCGTCGATAGCCAGCGGGATCCAGCCAATAGCAGGGTTTAGGGTTTAGGGTTTAGGGTTTAGGGTTTAAGGTTTAGGGGCATAAACCGAACAAGAGACTCTTTTGGAAGACCTGGCACACGAGGTCTTGCAAAGCAGCTGCACCTGATTGCAAGAAGGGTTCGTGCTGTGCATTGTCGGCAGCTGCGAGGAGGAGTCAGATGATGAAAGCTGGGCAAGGAAGCTACTTGAAGCTACAGCAGACGAGGACTTCGCCAGGGTGCCAGAGCACGCACACACACACACATACAAACGCACCCACACACACACACGACATGACCCGACCTTGGTTTTGACTTTACTCAGCCGCCCCTGCATCGGTGGTGTCTCATCACCAGGAAGAAACGAAGAGCCGCACCATCGGAGAGGCAAGTGTGCTACTATTGCTTGGGCTTGGCCTGACATTGCGGGGCACGGCTGCAAACAGGGTACATGTAGGTAGGACTTAAGGTGTAGGGTCATTCCTAACTGCGATGCGCTTTTCAGTACTTCCAGCAAGCCGCCGGGACCATGAGCATCCTCCAGGCACCCATGGGCAGCTCAGAAGGCGATGCCCTGGCCCGACATGAGTTGAGCTGAGGCCAGGGGCTCTCCCTTCAGCGTCTCGCTGTGCAAACAGTTATCTTCGTCCATGGGTGTCTTACGATGCTCTCCAGAAGATGTGTCGTCATGAGTTCACCTCATTGCATCTCTTGTTTCACATGATCAACGACCAATAATAAGTACCGAGAGCCACTGAATTTCATCAATCTCACGGAGCATGTTCTTCGGAGTGTGACCGGCCCCCAAAACGCGCTCCTACTGTCGGGAATCTATCGCAAGTTCCCCAAACTTTTAAGGACTGAATATTTGGCACAACTCAGGACTTACCCTAGGAGACCTTTTCGACTCGGAGCTCGGATTGAGTTGCCCCCAAAAACTTCTTGGGGAGGCGCCTCAGTAGAGCCCCAAAAAGCCAGGAGGCTCGGAGAGTTTAGAGAGTTTAGATGGGTTTCTAGGGTGTTTTGCGCCCCCTTTCTAGCAGAGCAGCCTCTCTACACTGAAACCTTCGGAAAGCCCAGTCTTGTCGGAATCTTGCAGAGCTAAAGCTGAGCTTGTGCAGAGGCCCCCGACGGAGCTGCCTGAGTCGGACAGCTGTGATGTGTCACTCTGTTCTGTGACGCCAGCAAACCCCACATTCCGAAACCCCAAACCCTAAAACCCGAAACCCCAAACCCCAAACTCCAAACCCTAAACCCGAAACCCTAAACCCTAAACCCCAAACCCTAAACCCTAAACTGCGAACAGCGCACCGTGGCCTTGCGAACCCGCGGCCCCGGCCTGCAAAGCAGGCGCCGGGGGCCAAAGTTGGGTCAACGCCGGGCCCCTTTAAACCCCAAGCCCTAAACCCTAAACCCCAAACCCTAAACCCTAAACCCTAAACCCTAAACCCTGGTTCTGCAGAGCATGAGAAGGCTCAAAGCCCCGCCCACGGCCCCTTGGCGAGAAAATGCAACCATTGAGCTCTGTGAATGGCACTCCAACTCTAGGATGCCCAGTAGTACCCTTATTCCCTTTTTGGGGGGTTTAGGTTCCCTTATAAACCCCTTTAAGCAAAAAAGGGCACCCTTTTTAAGCCTAGGTTACTGGGCAGCCTAGAATTTTGGGTTTAGGGCAAGCTCAACCTGATATTTCGCGACCCCAAATCTCGCTGGCTCACAGGAGAGACCGCGGAGAGTCGGCTCAAGCTAGCACAAGAACTTTCCCAGGCCATGGCCTTCGCTACATGACAGACTTGACGGCTTTTTTGATTTCATCTCTTACCTAGACAGCGCAAAGTCGCGGCCAGCGACGATGTCAATGTAAGTCTCTCCCTATATCCAGCAGGGCGAAGAAGTTACGTTGCAATCTACTGCGATCATGCAGCAAAGATGCCGTGTGCAAAGACACATACCTTCTTGGTCGCTCCCTCGGCATCCTTACGAACAAGTATTTCTTGAGTGCGCAGTTGCATCCAGTTGCTCGTTCTGCGCCCGAGGACATCGAGTGAGGCAGCCTGAAGCAAAGTCCTTCCAGGCATGCTCCACCCTGCATTCATGCAAGTCATCAGCCCCGTTATCAGCATGAAGCAGCCGTCAGTGATTTCTAAGACTTGCCCTCTTGTGGTCAAAGGCAGTACTGCAGTAAGAGACTAGTCACGCTATGCTTATTTCCTGCTTTAGCCATCAGCCGTCAGCGGTGATACGCCTGAAGTGAGTCTGGATTGCTGTGAGGAAACTCAAATTCAGGTACCATCGCAAGGAAACTGAACTTTCTTCTTGCAACATAGTGATTTCCGACGCTAGGGTAATAACTTGTTGCGGTCCTTATTATAAGGGAGTTCTAATGGTTGGGGGTTCTATTTTGGGGTCACCTATTTTCGTAAACCCCCCTATATATTCTCTGTATGTGAGAGAGAGGGGAGTCCTGCCCGTGACCCACGCCGGTTTTGATGCACAGTCATGCGGGTAGTTCTCTAAATTAGCGCCTTTTTTTTTTGGGGGGGGGGACATTTTTGTTTCTTTTGTCAAAGTGCCTTACGGCATGGGGACCCAAGAAGGGACCGTACTTGAGAGAACTACCCATATCATGGTAACTCTGTTTCAAGTGCTTGAACCCGAGCAAAGGCTGAACAGGGTTTGGGCTTTGAGGGTGTCTCTAAGCTGCCCAAACCTATGTCTTCGATGTGTTCCGGCAAATGCTCTAACTGGGGCTCAGGAACTTGTTGTAAGTTGACAGAACATGGAGAAAATGTCAATCTGGGTTTCTTGATTCAGGTCACTACTAAGCCTTAAACCCTAAGCCCGACACCCCGAACCCTCAGCGTCCCCCCAAGCCCGCCTGAACCCTAAACTGTATTAGGTCCTAAACCCTAGATCCTAAATCCTAAACCCTAAACCCAAGCCCTAAGCGGCAAGTGGTCACAGGCTTAAACTCCGATGGTCGAAGTGGTCCAGGCGACGGGGATGAAACCAGGGGACCCGGCTTAGCCTCTCTCATGTCAGCTCTGACCCGACTGCCGGCAAGGGTTTAGGGTTCAGGGTTTAGGGTTTAGGGTTTGGAGTTCAGGGTGTATGGTTCAAAGTTTAGGGTTTGGTGTTCTGCGTTTTGGGTTCGAGCTTCAGCACTCCCATGTCAAACCCTACAACCCCCCCCCCCCCCCACATGGCTCAGTGTCTACAGGACCTGCTGGACTACGTCACCTATGCGGGCGGCGTCGGTCGGCGACGGGCAGACGCCGTCAGTGGGGTAGGTGCTTCCTGGCTCATCCGGGTGGCTTTGGAGGTTTTTTTTTTTTAGGGGGGGGGGGGGGTTCAGGGTTATAAGGGTTAAGGGCTTAACCCTGTTTGTGGGGGGGTTCCGATATGAGGGATTGCAGTATTTTGGGGGGGTACATTCTTGGGGGGACTCTTAGTTTGGGAAATACCCCAATCTCACGCCTGTGCGTGTATACGGGTTTGCCAAAGGGAGGGCCAGTGAGGGTCCCTCTTTTCAAACCTTAGGGCTTCCCTCATGTAGCTTCTGCAAAGTTCCTATGGCCGGAGAACCATCCCCGTCAAGCTGTCACCTCTCAAAGCAGCCTGAGCTCTGGCTCTGAAATCTTGGAGCGCTGTATTGTTTAGCAGACTGCATGAGCGATGTAGCATCGAACCCAAGGTGAGAAAGCGGCTCTCAAGGTAAAAGTGAGAGGTTTTTAGAGCAGAGAATAGCATGTGCAATGCCCAACATGTCTTGGGGAGTTACCTCGGCTCGCAACTCGCAACCTCTGCTTGGACATGAGCCAACAATGGCCTCCCCCAAGCTTGCGCGACTCTCAGAGAATTGCATCTGGCTTTCCTGCCTTCAACTTCTGCGACCTTCTGAGAGCCCTAAACCCTAAACCCTAAACCCTAAACCCTAAACCCTAAACCCTAAACCCCCTGAGCGGAGTCTTTGAGGTCCAGCGGAGAAAAGCTCGCAGGCTTCGCCGAGGCCGCAGGTAGGGCAGTTGCCTCGACAGTCTCAGAGAAATTGTGCGCAGGAGAAAGGGCGCGATGAGCTTGCGTGCCCTGGCTGCTGCTAGGTTCGTGCGTGGTTAAGACCTAAGATGCTAGATCATAGGCTTATCTACCATGCTGCCGACTGGGCGAGTGAGTGTGTGTGTGTGTGTGTACGCATGCATATATATATATATATATATGTATGTATGTATGCATGTATATATATATATGTATATATATATATATATATATGTGTGTGTGTGTGTGTGTGTGTTTTTTTTGTGGGGGGGGGGGGGGGGGCGTAGGGCTTCAAGAATGTGGCTGCGACAAATGCGAAGCATATGCAAGGTGTCAGATGGCACTGTACATCGATGCCCCTGTCCCAGGCTATTTTTTTCGGTAAGCACGATGATTCCAGCTTGCTGGGCACGATGGTGCATTCTGGGCTAAACGGTCTCAGGTTTCTGGCGCGGGCAATGTTCTTGCGCACGTCGTGGGGCAGGCTGCTTCCCCTCAACGACGCTGCAAGACTCGCACATGATCAGAAGCTTTGCATTCTCCCCGACAGGCCGATGACGATGCGTTTCTTCTGCTGGGATCTTAGAGCCGTTCTCTCACGCTATGCGAAGCTTTCGGGGGCAGAAAGCGCATCAGAAAATGCCGGCGCAGGCGCCCGCAGCCTGGCGACAGCAAGCTCCAGCTGTGACCTCAAGACTAGGGTCCCTTGTTGGGGGTCCTATAATCATATAGTACGGCACCCTTACATAGTAGAGTATGGGATCCTAACTAGGTCACGAAAGACTGGTCGCGCGACGCACGATCCCGTGCTGGAAAGGCTTCCTCCTTTCTCTGCAAGATTAGGGTTGAGGGGGATCCCGAGATAGCAAGTTATGGCGTACGAAGACTTGCTGTAATAATCAGTGTGCTACAATGTGCTATGAAAACCTATAGTATACTGCATATTTTCTGTTTACAGTGGGAATATTTGACCTTGGAAGAAGGGACTTCGAGGCGTGCATTCTTCGCCGGCTTGACATGCGGCCGATTTAGACGCCGCCTCAGCTTTCAATGCAGAATTGGGCTCTCTGGGCTTGGATCTTGGGATCACGGGTGCCTGCCGAAGATCAAACCCTAAACCCTAAACCCTAAACCCTAAACCCTAAACCCTAAACCCTAAACCCTAAACCCTAAACCCTAAACCCTAAACCCTAAACCCTAAACCCTAAACCCTAAACCCTAAACCCTAAACCGTTCCGAGCGAATAGCAGCCTAGGCAAGATTCTGCAGCTGCAGTTTCAGAAGGATCTGCCAAAGGCTCTACCTCACAGCAGATGTGGGCTATGAAAGCTGGTGCTCATATTTGACCAGCTCTCCAAGTTCGGGTCTCTTTGTTGGTCAAAAGGGAACCACAAACCCAAAACCCCAAGCCCTGAAACCCTAAAGCCTAAAGCCCAAGCAAGCCCCAAAGCCCTTCCAACCTAAAACGCCTGAAGACCTAACCCCCCCCCCCCCAGAAAAAAAAAAAAAAGACAAGTCATCTGCAGGCCAAGCTGCAGGATCTCTTCTCAGCGCGCGGCTCAGGCTTTCAAAATGCTTTTGGGGCCTTCGCCAACCTCTTCGTCGGACTTAGTTTCGGTTTCATGAAGTTTAGGGCTAAGCCCTCAGCCTAAACCCCAAACCCTAAACCCTAAACTCTAGCCCTAAACCCTAAACCCTATGGGGTTTACAGAGGGCTTGGGCTGCTGTAGGAGTGGCTGCCCTCCAGCGCTGGCAGTGTTGAGCTTCGAGCTTTAGTCTGAACCTCAGATGCGAAAAGATTCGGGGGGAGTCTGGGAATCCTTGTGGGAGTTTAGGGGTTTAGGGTTGAGGGTTTAGGGTTTGGGGTTTAGGGTTTAGGGTTTGGGGTTTGCGGTTTAGAGTTCAGGGAGGGCTTTATGAGGGCTTTCCTCTCCTAACCGCTCAGGGTTTTGGGCTCAGGGCTCAGGGCTTGGGGCTTCTTGAGGTAGGTCCCAAGCCCCTGGACCTCTGACTGGAGGTTTCCCAGCTACCCGACCTTGCCGCCAAGGAGCTGGGTGTGAACGGCGAGGCTTTAGGGCTAGGGTTTAGGGTTTTGGGTTTAGGGTTTAGGGTTTGGGGCTAGGGTTTAGGGTTTAGGGTTTGGAGTTTACGGTTTAGGGGTGTAGGGTTGGCGGCTCCGCAGGACACGCTGGTTCTCCTCTTCGCTCCCGATGGCTGGCCGCTGAGAGCGAAGGCACTGGGAGCAAAGAGGCAGCCTGTGCCCTAAACCCTAAACCCTAAACCCTAAACCCTAAACCCTAAACCCTAAACCTCTTGGGGGTCCGTCTATACAGCGGACCCCACAAACGGGACTCGAACTTCAAGAGCTGCCCAAATCCTACACCCCCAATTTCTCGCAGATGGCCAGTTGTCCAAGTCGCGGTCCCTTTATCGTGTGCCCTGATACCCTCAAGCCCCTGAGCGCCCCGAATTCGAGCAGGCTCCCGAGAGACCCCAAATCCTCACACCCTGATGTGGAGTCCCCAGAAGTCCCCAAAGCCCTAAACCCGAAACCCTAAACCCTAAACCCCCCCCTCATCTGAGGTGAGAACCTCTCTGTTGATCTCCCAAAGCTGCAGAGGACGGGCTGTGCAAGACAAGGGTCTAGAGGGTTTGGGTTGCGTAGGGTTCAGGGTTTATGGTGCTGATAGGGTTTAAAGGGCGTGAGGGTTTCTAGGCGGTTGTTCAGAGTTGTTTAGGGTTTATGGTGTTCTTAGAGAAAAAGTCCTTCTTATAGTTACATAACTTGCAAGGACTTTGGGCTGTGGGGAAGCAGAATGCAAGCACTGGCGTGTTTGCCGAAGCTCCCTTAGGATTTTTATTACGGGTTTAGGGGTCTCTGCCGCAAATTTGCTCGTAGGACCCTAAATCCTAAACCCTAAACCCTAAACCCTAAACCCTAAACCCCAAACCCCAAACCCTAAACCCTAAACCTCTTCCTTGAATTGCAGGGCTCCAGCGCGGCTGCAGTCGCCGGTGCCCCACCCCAGCTGGCAGTGGTGGGTTAGGGTTTAGGGTTTAGGGTTTAGGGTTTAGGGCTCAAGGTTATTGGGGTCAGGGTTTTGGGTTGGCAAGTGTATTTAGATGCTTTAGAGGGCTTGGCGTGTGTGTTCCGAACGTCAGGGCATCCCCCCATTTGGGGGTTCATAGAATAAGGGTTGCTGTTGCTCCATTGTATGGGGTACATATGGGGGGTTTCCGAAAACAGGGGGTACCTTATTGGGGTCCTTATTATACGGTTCTATATTGGGGGTCCCTTATTAGATTTTCGTAAACCCCCGTTTAGGGTTTAGGGTTTAGGGTTTGAGCGCTTCTCCGAGACACGACTCAGGCAATATGGCTGGCCTTGCAGCGGGCCGCTGCCCCAGAGTGCCAGCACCGACCACTGAGCAAGACCCCCTAAACCCAAAAACCCTAAACCCTAAACCCTAAACCCTAAACCCTAAACCCTAAACCCTAAACCCTAAACCCTACTCTCTGGAGCTGATCACTTTTGGGGTTCCGACTTTCATACGGAGCCTTGCATGTAGGTCTCCAAAGCCTAGCGGGGCCATAGTTCTGAACCCCGAGCCCTGCTTGGAGGTTCACGTGTACTCTTTAAGTGGGGGGATAGAGTTCCCCGATAAGTTTATCGGTATAATTCCCCTACTCACATCCTTACTTGGAAGTCGGGTAATTATAGCCATCACTTTACTTTATCTAGGGTTTGGGGTGTAGGGCCTACTTAGAGACTTACTACTTGGAAGAGACCTCCAACCCTACGCCAAGGCGCACTTTGACTGGCAAGACCCATGTCCGCCTTTCCAGGCCCGCAGTCATCCTGAGAGCATCCTGTAAGTTGTGCCGGTTTAGGGTTTAGGTTTTGGGGTTTTAGGGTTTAGGGTTTAGGGCTTAGGTCTCAGTTCTCTAAATTTGTTCTTTTTTGGGTGGGCTCCTTTCTTGGGGTCCTTTTCCGTAGCACGGCACCCTTACAAGGACTCCCAGTTTCTAGAGCACATCCTGATGCTCTAGTGCATTCCAATACATGCTCAGTGCTCAGTGCTTTGTAAATTCTAGTATATGGTTGCATACTTCACAAATTGGGGGGGGGGGGGGGGGGGCCCCCTATATTCTCCAAAAAAAGTAACCCCCTTATCCAAGGAACCACGAGCTTCAAACCCTAAACTTTTTTAGCACATCCTGCGTCATCCCGTGATCCAGGCAGACATCGCTCAGCGATTGCCACACTCTCGGATTCATGAGTTTAGGGTTTAGGGTTCAGGGTTTAGGGTTCAGGGTTCAGGGTTTAGGGTTTAAGGTTTAACCTCGAGGTTTAGGGTTTTCAGTTTGGGGTATAGGGTTTAGGGTCGAGGAAGATGTCCTCATAAGTAGCCTGTATACCAGGAGCCCTGTATGAAAAAGGACCCTACCAAAGGGGGTATCCTACTGTAGAGAGCCCCTACACCCCTAAACCCCAAACCCGTCTTTGCGGTTGACCTAAACCTTGCACCCGAAACCCTAAACCCTAAACCCGTCTTTGCGGTTGACCTAAACCTTGCACCCGAAACCCTAAACCCTAAACCCTAAACCCTAAACCCTAAACCCTAAACCCTAAACCCTAAACCCTAAACCCTAAACCCTAAACCCTAAACCCTAAACCCTAAACCCTAAACCCTAAGCAGGCCAAAGTTGCTGCTGGAGCCGGGGGTCGCCGAAGCGGACGCTCCGCGACGCGGCCCATGGCCAGCACTCCTTTCGGGGGCTTATTTAGGGTTTAGGGTTTAGGGTTTAGGGTTTAGGGCTAGGGTTTAGGGTTTAAGTTTAGAGGGTTTAGGGCTTGGGGTTTAGGGTTTTGGGGTTTTGGGGTTTAGGGTTTAGGTTCAGGGTTTGGGATTAGGGTTTGGGATATGGGGGCTTAGGGTTTCGGGCTTGGGGTTTGGCGTTGGGGTTTAGGATTTGGGGTGTAGGGTTTGGGCCTGAGGGTATGGGATTTTGGGGCTGGGACGCCTCGAACACCTCGAAAGCCCAGAACGAGCTAGATTTCGTTGTTGTTGTTTCGTTTTTGTTGTGCTGAGTATGTATAAGGTTCCTTCTGGCGGGTCTTTTGGTGATGCCAAGAATCAAGATCCTACCTCCAGTCGTCCTGGGAACCCTAAACCCTAAACCTAGAACCTAGACCCTAAACCCTAAACCCTAAACCCTAAACCCTAAACCTAGAACCTAGACCCTAAACCCTAAACCCTAAACCCTAAACCCTAAACCCTAAACCCTAAACCCTACCTCCAACCGTACTGGGAACACGACACGCTTGACCCTAAACCCGTGGGAAGCCGCTCGCGTGCCCGGGAGATTCAGGCCGCACCTGGCGCGAGTTCGCAGGCCGAACAGAGGGCAAGGCGGGCTCCACCATGCTTTAGGGTTTGGGGTTTAGGGTTTAGGGTTTAGGGTTTCGAGCTTTGGGGTTTCGGGTTTAGGGTTTAGGGCAAGTTTAGGGTTGAGGCAAGTTCTGAGGTAGAGACGCCCAAGCAAACAGAGCCAACATGATACGTCGAAATGGTAAGGTTCCCTAAGCTAGGCTCCGTCTTTGGGGGTTTTATGCCTATGTAGGAAAGGGACCATATACCAGAGGTCAGGGGCAAACCGATCAGGACGGCGTATGGGGGCGGATGGCACACAGCCTTCGGCAAAGGCCGTCGAACCCCCCTAGCCTTCGTCGAAACCCTTGGCCTTCGTCGAACCCCCCTCCCGGCCCTTGTGGCCTTCGTCGAACCTCCGGCCTTCATTTAGCCTTCGTCGAACCCTCGCGTTTTTTTTGGGGCTTTGTCTTGGCCTTTTGTATCGGCCTTCGTCGAACCCCCTCCCCCTTCGTCGAACCTCCCGGCCTTCGTCGAACCTTCGCCCGGCCCCCCGGCCTTCGTCGAACTTCGTCTCGGCCCGTTGGTATCCCGAGTCTTCGTCGAAGTTCTCCGGCCATCCTGCTCATGGGCCATCCTGGTGTGTTTGCCCCTTAAGAGGAGTTTGTCCACGTTCAGGGTTTAGGAGCCTTCAACCCTCAACCCTAAACCCGCCGAACAGGACGGCTATGAGCTCTTCGACATCCACCGAGGTCTCTTGACCAGGCCAGCTGTCATAGGTGATGGGCGCAGGCGCATGCACCACAAGCATGCACACACAAACAAAAAAGAAACAACACACGCACACCGCGCACACACACAAACACACGCACACGCGCACACGCACACGCACACGCACACACGCGCACACACGCGCACACACGCGCACACACACACACACACACACCCCACACACACACACACACACAGACACACACACAGACACACACACACACACACACACACACACAGACACACACACACACACAGACACACACACACACACACACACACACAACACACACACACACACACACACACACACACACACACACACACACACACACACACACACACACACACACACACACACACACACACACACACACACACACACACACACACACACACACACACACGCCCACACACGCGCGCACACGCAAGCGCACGAGCACGCGCGCACGCGCGCGCACACACACAGACACACACACGCAGACAGAGACAATTGCATCGACTCGCGTTGTTCCGCTGACAGCTTCAAGCAGTTGCTCTTCAGCACTCACTTTACCCTAAACCCTAAACCCTAAACCCTAAACCCTAAACCCTAAACCCTAAACCCTGAGCCCTGCTGTGATGAGATCGTGCAGGCTCGGCATGAGAAAAGCCGAGCCGGCGAAAGCCAGCGCAGCCCCGGCTCCAGACTCAAAGCATGTGCCTTGAGCTGGCAACCTTTTAACCTTTTTTGGGGTGTTATAGGCTTAGGGTTTAGGGTTTAAGTTTAGGCCGGTTAGGGTTTAGGATAGTCCCTAGGGAATCGTCCATATTATATAACCCCACAGGGTAACCGTTTAACCTTTAGTTCCCCTCTAATACAAACAAGTCAGGTGGAGCTCGAGACTGTGTACCTCCAGGAGTTTTTGGGGCTTTGGGGCTTTGGGGCTTTGCGTCATAGTTGTACACTACAATAGGATTGGATGTTATTGCATGTTGTCCGAGGGAGTGAGGGGGGGTGCGAAAGCTTCTTGCATCTGCACTTCCTGGGCACAATTACCTGCGATAGTCTCTGAGCAAGGGCAGCATTTCAAAATTCCATAGTCAGTAGTTATTATGTTCAAAAACCTTTCATTAAGTAATTTACTGCCCATTCAACAACAAAAACCATGAGAACACAAACGTTCTCTGCACAGGAGATTGCTCATCTCCGCCGGGGCCCCTGCCACCATATTGCTGACCCCCTGAACCCGAGACCCTAAACCCTATCTAAGGCTTAGTACTTACAGGGTATATTGGGCTTAGGGCTATCAAAAGCCCTAAACGTAAACCCGAAGCCCTAAACCATCCTAAACCCCAAGCCCCCGCGTGCTCTCAGGTTCGGAGCTCGAGCAACTTCACGCAGCCAGCGACCAGGCCCCGGTTTTGTTATCATCACAAGAACGGCCTATGACTGGGTTTCGGGTTTGGGATTAGGGCTTCAGTTGCAGAACTTAAACTTAGGGTTGAGGGCTTAGGGTTCACCACAATAAGGAAACCATACTATTGTGCTATTGCTATGCACCCATATTGTATCTTCACGTTAAGTTTCTGCTCTTGCACCAGGCACTCTCCAGGCGATGGAGGTGGGTCTGCGCACGCCTGCCCAGACAGTTCTGATATAGGGTTAAGGGTTTAGGATTTAGGGTATTTCTGGGGGAGGGCAAATCTAAGGGTAGTTGAATGGTCCCCCAATATGACCCCTGAAAATCTTTAAAGATTTCTAAAGTATGGGCCCCTTGGGTTTTATTTGGTATATAAGGGGTCCCCTTTCCTAGAGGGTTATAGAGCTATAGGGGTTTTCAAGGGTTAGAGAGTTACGGGGTTAGAGGGTTTTAGGGTGCCTTTGTGCACAGATTCCGCCGAGGTGGGGATGGTGATGGGAGTTCTCTTCTGCAAGCGCTCTCCTCAGTTTCCAGAACACCTGCAAAGAACGATAGTGTGACTGCATCGGCATGTCTCAAACTAGAGGCACCCCTAAGTTACACCGCAAATGAAGAAAAAGGAATTCCCTTGAAGGGGCCCTGAAAAGGGTGCCCCGATTGTCGGAAACCCCCCTATTACGGGCGTTTGCCAGTTTTGGAGATGCTCTTCAAGAAAAGCATCACGAAGGATCCTCGCTGTTGGAGTTTCCAACCGCATGTCTGATCCACCCACAGTGGTACACCAGGAGAATGCCATCATTGCGATGGAAAAAGGTCTAGAACTCATAGTACCGGGCTTGACCCCTAAACCCTAAGCACTTAGGGCCTAGGGGGCTCCCCCCAAAGAAAGTGGCTGAGGATCTTCCTTTCGGCGCTTGCGGCTTTTGGGCCGGCTCCCTCCTCGCCGACTTGCGGACTCGAGGGGAGCTGAGGACGTAGCGATTCCTGCTCGAGCAAAGGCTTCGGGCGCGACACGTCTCGGATGTTCTCAGGGCGGCGCATTGTTTGAAAAAGAGTCCGATTCAGGAGGCTCTACAAGCATTCAGGTCTCGACTATGGTACGTTGCAGTATGCCAGAGAGTGTGTTGCAGTGTATTGCCGTATGTTGTAGAAGTTGTACATCATCATGCTTTAGCACATTCTAGTATACCATTGTATAGAATTCTGTATGTGATATGATTTGTTCAAGTCTGGTATGTTATGGTAAGATACGGTCAGTCTTACATGGTGAATCACATTCTCTCCACCCCCCTTCTCGACCAGCCCCGGCGACAGGCTCTGTAAAAGCTGGTGCCCATGACTCCGTCGGCACCCCGGCACCGTGCAAATGACCGCAAAAATTGTCCCTAACCCTAAACCCTAAACCCTAAAACCCTAAAACCCTAAACCCTAAAACCCTAAAACCCTAAAACCCTAAAACCCTAAAACCCTAAAACCCTAAAACCCTAAAACCCTAAAACCCTAAAACCCTAAAAGCCTAAAAGCCTAAAACCCTAAACCCTAACCCTAAGCAGCCGGCTGAGGCCTTCGTTGCGGAGGAGGCCGGCACACGCAAGGCATGCACGTTTATGAAGATAGGGGCCAGGGCGAGGGCCGCAGCGTGTACATTTTTGGGCACGCTTCTAGAGGGCTTAGGGGGTTCAGGATTTCGCCGCTCTGCGGCTGTAGCACTTCATTCCTGGGATTGGGTTTAGGGTTTGGGGTTTGGGGTTTAGGGTTTAGGGTTTAGGGTTTATAGGGTTTAGGGTTCAGGGTTTAGGGCCATCAACCAAAAAACCCTCCAAACCCTGAACCCATCGACTTCGCGTGCGCAGGACGCCACAGACACCCACGGGCCCAAGATCGCACCCCTCCAGGACTGCTTGCTCTTGAGTTACACGTTGTGCCCTCCCCACTCTCAGGGTTTAGGGTTTAGGGTTTAGGGTTTAGGGTTTAGGGTTTAGGGTTTAGGGTTTAGATGACCCGCCTGGCTGCATGGCTACTATCGTCCCATGTTATGTATGCAAATATTTGTGTACGCATCTTGTCGTTTGTGCTTCTCATGTTTAAGCTGAGCCCAAGTTGGAATAGCGTATAGTCGAAAGGTCTAGAGATTAGGGTTGATTCAGGACATCGTCTTCGATGAAGTCCTGGACAAGCCCTTCGCTGAAAAGGTCCAGGGTTAAGGGTTTGACTTAGCCCGAAAACCCTAAACCCTTAACACCCTAAACGGTAGTTGGAGTCTAACTGTTTAAGATCCTATTGCCCTAGATCCCTAAAACCTACACTCTGATCTCGTCCGTTCCGCAGCATGCCTAGCAAATGTTGCCAAGGTTGCTCATCTAGGACCCACAGTAGGTTCCCCAGAGTCATAGTCCTGTGCCAACACCAATCCGAAGCGTTTCAAGGGTTTGGGCTTTTGGTCTTAACGCCCTCCCGGTGCCCTAAACTCACTGCGGGGACCCCCAGACCGCTGGCCCTTGCTGGGACGCCTGGGACCTCCTGCGACCTTTGTGGTTCCACCCTAAACCCGAAACCCTCAACCTTCGTGACCCTTGACCTGTCCCCTGGCGAGAAACCAACGCAGTGGGTCCAGGCTTTTGGAAGCCACGGAAATCTGGAAAATCATAGGGTCGTTTCTGCGATTAGTTACGAGGTTTTCAAGGTTTTTCTCGGCATCCCAACCTGCACAGCTTCTGCGCCATGTCATACTCCTAGAGTTTCGGGTCCCCAATGTCCATGTCTTGTACTTGCCATACCATTCAAAACTAAAGCCCGTGGGCCAGATCTGTTCCCTCTTTCTGTTCCTGAACAACACATCAAGGGCTTATGAAATCCTGACTGCATCGCGTGACAACAAGGTTCGCATCGCCTCACAGCTCTATGAACCCATCGGCCGCACAGAGAGGAATGCCAGCCATGATCCCTAAACCCTAAACCCTAGAACCTAAACCCTAAACCCTGAACCCTAAACCCTAAACCCTGAACCCGAAACACTTTGGCCTTGCAGCCAGGAGTACGGGGTGCGCCTACTTGAGCTGTCACACCGCGGCGAGCGGCTGATGGCAGAGCTGGCAGAGCCCTTGGCTCTAAACGTGTTATGTTCTGAACTGGCTTGATTTTTTGGGGGGGGATTAGGGTTTAGGGTTTAGGGTTTAGGGGAATGCCACTTCTGCCATGCACAATGGCTGGGCATGCAGAACATAGCCCGATCACCACTGCAGGGACATGTGTGGGTTCTTTAAGAGGGCCAGGGGCTCCTTGTTCATCGAACTCACGTGCCTTTCTCATCGACATCGAAATCGAAGCATGATCTGCCCCGCTTCAACAGGCTCAGAAATACGACCAGGCAGGCTCCGCCGCGGGCAAGGGTGGAAGAATGTGCGGTCTGACTAAACTGGGTAGGTCCTCGGCAAATTTAATATTTTCCCTTGTTGGGTTTTGAAACGAGGTTCATATGGGGGTTTTACGAAAATAGGGGACCCCTAATGTAGACCCAAACAGTAGGCTTCCTTCACGAACATGTACCCCAAGAAGGTACCCATGCGTAGGACTATTTGTTCACAGGGTTTCAATGGCCAACCTAGTAAAGGTCTCCCGTCGATGATTTCGGCTAAAGTTAGATTGAAATAGATTGAAGCTTCCTGGGGCTGAGCCGTAGACCCTAAACCCTAAACCCTGCAGTCCTCACAGAATCTTAGGGGGCCCCTAGGCATGCAAAGCCCTTTACTTCTACGTGGGTTATCAGTATCCCAAATAGGGTTCTCAGCAGTCTTAAGCTGCAATTACCCTGCCTAGAACCAACCCTATGCATCAGTACTTACCCATGACCTCCAAGCGCGGCGAAGCCGCCTAAGAGGTGAATCGGCTGGTGGAACACGACCCTCTTTGGCGGAGCAGGCGGGGGCTGAGAACTCCAAATCACACGCATCTGAGCCACTTTTTGATTTAAACCTTAAACCGACACCCTAAACCCTAAACCCCAAAACCCAAACCCCAAACCCTAAACCCTAAACCTTCCCAGAACCCTGAACCGTATCAAGCCCGCAACCAGAAGCAGCGATGTCTGCATAGGCTGCTCCCCAGCCTGCTGCGGAAAGTCTGCGAAGGCTTACGGCGAGTCGGTGGCTTAGAGGGATTTGCGCAAGAGGTTTTGGGTTGAGGGTTTAGGGTTTAGGGTTTAGGGCTTAGGCCATGAGGCTTCATGGTCATGTGCGGCATGAACCGTGGGTCAGGGCTCCTTAGGGGAGTCTGTAAGGCGCCGTTGGATACTGTAAACGTGGGGGAGAGACCTCCAGCGCTTTCACACCCTAAACCCTAAATCCTAAACCCTAAACCCCAAACCCCAAACCCCAAACCCCAAACCCTAAACCCTAAACCCTAAACCAGCAGCCACACCAGGCCTCTCACCATGGTCTGTTGGCCTTGAACCCTAAACCCGAAACTCTCAACCCCAAACCCTAAACCCTAAACCCGAAACTCTAAACCCCAAACCCTAAACCCTAAACCCTAAACCCGAAACTCTAAACCCGAAACCCTAAACCCTAAACCCGAAACTCTAAACCCCAAACCCTAAACCCTAAACCCGAAACTCTAAACCCCAAACCCTAAACCCTAAACCCGAAACTCTAAACCCGAAACCCTAAACCCTAAACCCGAAACTCTAAACCCGAAACCCTAAACCCTAAACCCGAAACTCTAAACCCCAAACCCTAAACCCTAAACCCGAAACTCTAAACCCCAAACCCTAAACCCTAAACCTTGGACAACCCAAACCATGTTTAAGGTTCAGCTGATCCTGGCACGGGAGCTACAGGAGGCGCTTGGTGGTTCAGCTTGGCCGTATTGGTTTGAACCCTGAACCCTGAACCCTGAACCCTGAACCCTAAACCCAAAACCCTAAACCCTAAACCCTAAACCCTAAACCCTAAACCCTAAACCCTAAACCCTAATCTGAGAAGCGGTGAGGTGTGGAACATGACGTGCTCAACTCAGCAGAGAGACGTGGATTTCGCAAAATAGTGTGTGGGGTTAGGGTTCAAACCCTTTTGGGGGGTTATAGAAGGCTTTGGAATACCCAGCATTCCTGGACTCAGCAAGGCCGATTGACGTGCAGATGCATGTGCAACCCTAAACCCCAACCCTGAACCCTAAACCCCAAACCCGAACCCTAAACCCTAAACCCCTAAACCCTAAACCCTAAACCCTAAACCCTAAACCGACCTCCTTTGAGGTTTCTGCCGCTCTTCTATCCATCGGAGAGTGAGACGATGACCGAGGCACGGGCCTCCTGTGTCACGGCTGTGACGGTTCTTCGGACCCGAACCCCTAAACCCCAAACCCCAAACCCTAAACCCTAAATCTTAATCCTAAACCCCAAACCCTAAACCCCAAACCCGAGGCCTTGCCTGGAGGTTGGTCCCGCGCCCAAGGGGATCCAGCACAGTGTAGACATGGCAGCGGCATGTGCTCAGTTCTACAAAACCAGGCAGGCCCTTGAAATATCTCATATTTTCCCTTATAGTGGGATATTCCTCAACCCTAAACCCTAAACTCTACATTCTATTTGTCCTACTTTATGTTTTCCTTATTGGGTCTAAGATGATCATGTTTAGGAACATGTTTCAGAGGGTTGTTCATGGCCATTCTTGTAACCGACTGCTGTGACATTTTATGACACGGAATCTTATTTTTATGGTGCGCCATAGGGGTTTGGGGTTTGGGGTTGGGTTTAGGGGGTTTAGGTTTTGGTCGTGAGCATGACCTGGAGATCTGCACATGTCTCCACAAAGGTTAGACCTCGAGGACCTGTTCCTGACGGTGCATCTGCTGCTGAGGCTGCCTAGATCCCAAGCGCTACCAGTAGGGATTAGGGTTTGGGGGTTTGGTTTTAGGGTCCTTATAAGAACCCAAAGCCTGCCTTTCAGCCCATGATAGGGTTCTCAGGAAACCTGCCGGTACCAAAATATAGGTTTGGGGTTCCGAAGGCAAGCTGTCGAGTCCGTTGAAGGGTTCCTTGCCTTGCAGGTATCTTTCCGAGATGATGCGCCTCGCGGGGGTGTGCGGCTGAAAAGGGAGATGAGATGAGGTTTTGATTGGGCAGCCCTCCAAGTAACCCGAAAGCCTAGATCTCAGGTGTCTTCCGGGGTTTCGGGCTTTCACTGTTTCAGATGATATGCGAAACGCCCGCGGCTTGCAAAGAGCAACTTGACCGAGGATCTGGTGAAAGAAGTCCCCAATACACGCTCAATGTCTCGGAGCCAGATCAGGCTCGGTCTTTCACCACGCAATGAGTCGCAACTGATAGGCGGTTACCCTAAGCCCTGAACCTAAGCCCTAAACCCTAAACCCTAAGTTACTAAGCCCTAAAAACCCTGTTTTTGCTACAAGAATGGAAGTCTGGGAGCAGCAAGGCAAAGACTGAGAGCAACAGCAGCAACACCCAAAACAAGACGAAGATCAAGTACAAGACTTTGAGGATATGGAGTACTCTTCAAGCAGAGCAGTAGGCCCTTCATAGTCATAGTTGTTTCTAACCTCGTTCAGGGCAATTTTCCACCCTCTGTAGCGGGGGCCTCGTCTATTAAGTCAAGTCTGTCTGGCTATTAGGATGGTTTGAGCGTCTGGGGCCCCGGTGGGATCCTCTATTAAGTCAAAGTTCCGGGCGTCGTAAGAATACTTCGTGTGGCGTGCCTTTACAGTCAGTTGCTGGGCTTCGTTGTCCCTAAATTCATATTTTAATTTACTTATACATATATGTATGTATATTATATATATATATATATGAACTCATCCCTTTTTGGATTCGCATACAATCCCGAGACCATTTCAAGACGAGTTCGGGGGGGGGGGGGGGGGGCACACTAAACATTTCTTATAGCTTGAGCCCGAAACACCGCGTATACGTACTCATGAACCTCCGCAGGATGGTACACATTGCAGGGCGGCCTCTTATTTCAGGATTTGGGGCTTCATGGTTTAGGTAGTGCTTTACAGGAAATCGCCTGCGAACTTTAGGATTCGGGTCTCTGATGCTCTCTCCCGCGGTCGCCTTGGCTCCGGCATCGTTTGCCTTCTGCTGCGGACTGCCTGGGGTCAGGCATAAGGCGGATAAGTTTCTGAGACTAGTAGATCTGATAGACGCGATATGGTTGAGCAGCTAAGCAGGCCAAACACCCTTTTGCAGGAAGGCCTGCGAGGTAGTAGTGTCTCAAAGCATCACGGCAAATTCAGTGTTGCAGCATAGTTACCGAGCATGTATGTGAGGGCCTAGCGATCGCTGCCGGTCGAGGGCCCCACAGGGATGTCAAGCTCAAGCAACGCCACTGCAGATGCTTTCGGTACCTACTACCAGTGCCGATTCGTGGTCGCTGCGTGGTACCCTTTTGCTCTTTCCGGGTTCCGGGTTTCTGTCTTGAAAAAAAGTCGCCAAACCCCAAAGAGGGTTCACTTAGAATTACGTAGTTGCTTGGCAGCTCCAAGGATTGGAGGAGGTCACAAGCAAGTGCCTGGAGCAGAGCTACCCCAGACTGACATCCGCGCAGGCAGCTCTGGGATCGAAGAAGCGCCTGGTGCAGCAAGTGTCACCGATCTCACGCGACGGCCGGAAGGCTGGGGAGAAGAAGTTCGGTCATTCCTTCTCGGACGTGCAAAGGGATGCGGTGAAGCACTGGCAGAGTGAAGTTTCGGACAACACAACGGGCCTGTCCGCGAAAGTCAAGGACCGAATGGTCAAGCGGCTTACCCAGGTCCGACGCGCCATCACGCCCTTGCCGGCCATGCAGGGCGATGGCAACAACAGCAAGCAAGACTTCAATCGCCAGGAGCGAATGGTTCGGGTTCTCAAAGACTCACGCTTCTTCATGGGCCTGGACGCCGTGATTCTGGAGAGCCTGCCGAACTACTCCGAGTTCCTCACCCTGGACTCGGGGACCGTGCTCTTTCGGCAGGGGGACGCCGCCAAGGGCTGCTACGTCATCGTCACTGGGAAGGTGGGCTTCTACGTCGGGGGCAACCTGAAAAGCCCGCGCCAGCCGGTGACGCCGGCGAAGGAGATACCCTTGACCGCAGAGTCCCAGAGGCGAGTCCTGACCTTCGAGGGCTTCAGCACCTGTAGCAAGATGTCCGACCTTGGTACATGCGTGACGTGGCAGCTGAGTAATTACCCCTTTGTCCCTGCTTTTGTTCTGGGCGCCCTTATTTAAAAAACCAAGTAGCGAACTGTAACACGGGTACCGCTCCTAAGCCCTAGGTGAAAAAGAGTGGTGCCGGAGAAGTCTTTGGAGAGCTGGCCCTGATGGATGACTCCCAGCCCCGACGGGCGGCGGCGCGGTGCCTGGATGAGTGCGAGGTCTTGTTCGTGTCCGCCGCGGGCTTCGAGGAAGTGAAGCAGTACGTGACTAGGACCCAGGGAGGCCCTCATTCCCTTTTTTTTGGTTTGGGTGGGGGGGTTCGGGGGGGGGGGGAGGGGGCTAGGTTCCCTGACAAACCCTTTAGACCCAAAAGAGCACCCTTTTTGCCCTCTTCATTCCGCGGCTACTGTTTGCGCCCAGGTGAAGGACCTCGAGAAGCAGAAGAGGGAGTTCCTCGAACTTCTCATCTTCGGAAGGTTGCTTGGTAGCCCAGTGGTACCCTTTTCACTTTTTGTTGGTTCAGGGTTCCCCTACAGAGCAACTAGCCGAAAAAAGGGTACCCTCATGGAGTCCTGGAGTAACCCTAAACCCTAAACCCTAAACCCTAAACCCTAAACCCTTTTTTTAAAGCATGGTTACTGGGCTACCAAGGTTGGATCCCAAGGACATCGTCGGCGCCTACGGTCATCCCGCAAGTTGCTTCCACCAGCAGAAGCACACGAAACTAGGTTGGTTTTGCGGGACATTTTTTAATTGCCTTATAACCCTAAACCCTAAACCCTAAACCCTAAACCGTATAATTTTTTCAGAGGGTTTTGAAAGGCCAACCCAGGAAAGGGAGGGCCCTGCTGAAACAGGGCACCAACGAGCACAAGGTGATCTTCATCGTTGTGAGCGGTGAGCTGGACACTGGGTGGGGTCTTGGGATGTCTTTTGTTTCTTTTTACCCTTATAATGGGTTTAAGAGGATCATGTTGAGGAACCCTAAGCCCTAAACCCTAAAACCTAAACCCTAAGCCCTAAACCCTAAACCCTAAACCCTAATCTTTTCAGAGGGTTCAAGGGTCCAACCTAGGAGATGACCCGGCACGCCGGGAAGCCCGGGAGTTCGTTGCGCGAGGTCCTCGCCATCCTCGGCGCCTGGGGTTTAGGGTTTAGGGTTTAGGGTTTAGGGTTTAGGGTTTAGGGTTTAGGGTTTAGGGTCTAGGGTTTAGGGTTTAGGGTTTAGGGTTTAAGGTTTAGGGTTAAGGCAGAAAAGAACCCTCAAAGGGCTTTGTGTGTGTAGGGTTTTAGGGTTTTAGGGGTTTTAGGGTTTTAGGGGTTTTAGGGTTTTAGGGTTTTAGGGTTTTAGGGGTTTTAGGGGTTTTAGGGGTTTTAGGGTTTTAGGGCTTTAGGGTTTTAGGGTTTTAGGGGTTTTAGTGGTTTTAGGGGCTTTAGGGGCTTTAGGGGCTCTAGGGGCTTTAGGGGTTTTAGGGGTTTTAGGGGTTTTAGGGTTTTGGGGTTTAGGGTTTTGGGGTTTTGGGGTTTAGGGGGTTTCGGGTTTTGGGGTTTAGGGTTTACGGTATAGGGTCTAGTAGTGTTTAGGGTAGGCTTACCCGAATGGGGATTGATTGTAGTATAGGGTAACATGACCTCAATTTTCGGGTACAGGTCACCTGAATAGGGTAGAGCATAGGGTAATATGAACCCCCCAATTTTAGAGTTCACAAACCCTAGCCCTAAACCCTTAACCCCAGGCCCTAAGCCCTCAGCCCTAAACCCTAAACCCTAAACCCTAAACCCTAAGCCCTAAACCCTAAACCCTAAACCCTAAACCCAAGGAACTGGGGACATGTGTGGCAGCCTCGGCTTCGCCCTAAAGCAGCCCTACTCCGTTCGCGTCCACTCCGAGGCCTGTGCCTCGGACGCTCTTGAGAAGCAGAGTTTTAGGGTTTTAGGGTTTTAGGGTTTTAGGGTTTTAGGGTTTTAGGGTTTTAGGGTTTTAGGGTTTTAGGGTTTTAGGGTTTTAGGGTTTTAGGGTTTTAGGGTTTTATGGTTTTAGGGTTTAGGGCTTAGGGTTGTGAGTTGAGGGTCAGGGTTTTAGGGTTTTCGGGTTTAGGGTTTGGGGTTTAGGGTTTAGGGTTTATTTAGGGTTTAGAGTTTAGGGTATTCGTGATTTTTACATGGTTGGAGTCGGCGCTGGGAAAACTGATTTCGGGACCTTTGTGTTTTCAGCAGCTCTGAGCCTTGAAAATAAGCGCAGCTAAGGTGAGATCCTCGCATCTCGGCACGAGGACCTCGATCGGCTCCCCGAGTCGATACTGCAGCGGATCATGGCCCGGCTCTCGGCCGAAACTGCGGAGCGCCTGCGCTACGGATATGTCAGCAGCTCGGCAGACGCCCGCAGTAGGATTCCTTTTTGATAGATACCCCTAAAGCCCTACACCCTTAAGCCCTACTAAACCCTAAACCCTAAACCCTAAACCCTAAACCTCAACCCTCAAACCCCCCATAGGGCGGGCTCCTTTTTTTGGCACGGGATTCGTACCCCTAAGGATGCACGCGATGTACCCCTAAGAGGTTCTCTTGGTCTACTCCAAATATGGCCCTCACATTCCCCTTGGAGGATCCTTAAAAAGGGTCCCCAGACTCAAGGGTGCAACCTTAGGGGTCGAGGGTTTAGGGTTTAGGGTTTAGGGTTTAGGGTTTAGGGTTTAGGGTCCCATGGCATGCTTCCCCCGCGATTGTTCCCCATGTCATATTGCCAGGGCTTGGTATAAGAGGAGCTGACTTGCGGGGACCATCCTCGGCGCCCTAAACCCTAAACCCGAAACCCTAAACCCTAACCCTAAACCCTAAACCCTAAACCCTAAACCCTAAACCCTAAACCCTAAACCCTAAACCCTAAACCCTAAACCCTAAACCCTAAACCCTAAACCCTAAACCCTAAACCCTAAACCCTAAAACCCAACCAAAAGGCAAGCCCATGGGCTGGCAGAATGTGCCCAAGCTCCAGAAGCTTGGCAGCCCAGTGGTGTGGTGCCCTTTTGCCCCTTTTTGTTTGGGGTTTAGGGTTTAGGGTTTAGGGTTTAGGGTTTAGGGTTTAGGGTTTAGGGTTCAGGCTTTAGGGCTTTAGGGCTTTGGGGCTTTGGGGCTTTGGGGCTTTGGGGCTTTAGGGTGTAGGGTTTAGGGTTTAGGGTTTAGGATTAGGGTTTGGGGATTAGGGGATCAGGGTTCCCTTATCTATTAACCAACCCCAAACAAGAGAACCCTTTCTCTTCATGAGACGGTTGCTGGGCTGCCAAAAGGAAGCGAACCCGGCAAGACTCTGAGCTCCTCCTGCTGAACTCGCGCGACCCTTACTTGGCCAATAGATCAACTTGTTTTTCGATTTTTTTGGGTTTTAGGGATAGTAGCAAAAATGGAGTTTAATTTTGTGGGTGTTTTTTCTGTTTGAGGGTTTAGGGTTAGTAGGAAAATAGAGTTAAATGGGGTTAATTTTAAACTTCCTTTATTCCTTTGTCAGTGGCAAGGATCTGCAGACGCACTTGCTGGCGCGACTCTGGCAAAGTGGGGGTCAGGGAAAGCAGATGGCCTGAGATGTCCGCAGGTCCTTGGCAGTCCCCTTCTGCCCTGTAAGCTTGCCTGTCAGCGGCCATGTGGATGCCATGTGGTAGTATCGTAGCATTTTTTCCCAGGGCGTTGCTTTTATGGTTCTGGCGATAAGTGCAGCAAGAAGAAGCGCCACATTTCTTAGTGTCGCAAACGAACTTTTTTTGGATGCAAGCTGCCAAGCAGCATCGCAACCATGGTTGAGCCGAGCCGGTTTCTGGGCTCCAGTATTTGAATCGTCGATGCCGATGGCCCTCACTTCTGGAAGGAAGTCGAAGACCCCTAGGGTAATTCTGCCGCTGCATGTGCGTGGAAATACCTGGAAGCATGGATTGCCTGGGGGCGCTGTGCAAAGCTGTGTCATCTTGAAGAAGTTTTGTGTCTCCTAAACCCTAAACCCTAAACCCTAAACCCTAAACCCTAAACCCTAAACCCGAGTCTTGACACATTGATACAGTGGCATGCTTGCCAGGGAAGCAGCGACCCGCCCAGAAGTCCAGCGACTAGTTCGCCATGCAGCAAGCAAGCTGCCCCTGCCTTGGGCTTCCTCTTTCTCGGGTTGATTTTGCATGTTACCCAGGGAAATCCATGCTTATCCGACCCCCCCCCCCAATGCCCTGCAGTCTTGTTTAGGGTTCAGGGTTTAGGGCTTAGGGCTTAGGGTTCTGCATCTTTCGCTGCAGAGGCCTTTTCTGGGCATTGGCTTCGGGGACCGTGAAGGACGATGCCACCTTGTCGCCTCTTCCGGGCAAACTATACGACCTACTCGATTTAATTTGTTGTTCATATATAAAATAAATAAATGTATATATATATATGTACATATTTATATTACCATTTCTATTTATATCTATTTTTATATACAGGTATATACGCCCAATATAATACCCGAGTAGTAGTTGCAAGGCTACACGTGGAAACACGCCTGGCATTGCGGCACTTCGTTGAGATGACACGTAACTTACGTTTGGCGATGGAAGTGCCGTCTTCTTTCGTGCCGCTTTCAGAGGAGAGCCCCAAACCCTAAACCCCAAACCCTAAACCCTAAACCCCAAACCCTAAACCCTAGACCCTGTTGCAAGGAGAGAACCTGGCTCCGGCAGAGGTGGTGGATTCGCCTTTGAGTGAGGCCCCGGAACTCTCCTGCAAGAGCCTGCCGGTCCTGAGGTTTAGGGTTTAGGGTTTGGGGTTTAGGGTTTAGGGTTTAGGGTTTAGGGTTTAGGGTTTAGGGTGCGTTCTGAAGGCTCTTGCCATCCTGAACGAAGTCCTCATGGCACCTTGGATGCAAAAGAGATCGGCTGTAGTGTGAGCTTTCTCGGAACCATGGCTACCATTTGCTTAAGAACCCCAAAAGAATATCAGTAATGAGAATCCCGATATTACCCTTTATAAGGAGTAATAGTTTTTTTTTCGGGGGTTCTTCAGCAACTAGTAGGTGAACCTGAGGTGGAGATGCAGGACTTGCTCTCTGATCTGCACAGATCCACCTACCGAGCCTTCATTCGCGTCGTTGCGGCGCCCGCAGCTTACTGGAAGGGCTGACCGCGCAGCAATGGATCCAGGAGAGAGGGTTTGGGGTTCATAGGGTTTAGGGTTTAGGGTTTAGGGTTGTGACCTGCGAAGGTATGCTCGGTGGAAGAAGACATGCAAGGAGGCAAGACGGCAGAAAGCGGCCGAGGTGAAGGCCTGACACTTCTTGTCCCGCACGTTGCCCCCGTCACTGAAAAACCGCCACCTTGCTCCGCAGGCTGCGACAGACAAGCAAAACGCGGCCGCCCGGAAGGCATCGGACATCCGCTCCAAAGTCACCGCACGACTTCCTAGCAACCTGACCCTAAACCCTAAACCCCAAACCTAAACCCTAAACCGCCAGATGAGAAGTCTTCGGAGTGTTGTGGGCTTGGAGGATGATGCCCTGCGCCAAGAGCTGCAAGTTCATGCACTGTCGACCGTCAAAGCTCTGTGCCACGACGTGCCTTGAACTCTAAACCCTAAAACCCTAAAATACTAGAAGCCCCAAAACCCTAAAACCCTAAAACACTAGAAGCCCTAAAACCCTAAAACCCTAAAACCCCAAAAACCCTAAAAACCCTAACACCCTAAAACCTAAAACCCTAAAATCCTAAAACCCTCAACCCAAAACCCTAAACCCTTCCTTTTTGGTGCTGAGGAGGAGGAGCCTCCTGCCGAGGATGCGGCCGCCTCATCAAGTCACCGCCTCGGGGCCTCCAGACATGCCGTATGAGTTGCTGTAAAGTGCAAGAGATGCTCAGGAGGTCCATACATACCGTCAGCGTTTAGGGTTTAGGGTGTAGGGTTTGGGGTTTAGGGTTTAGTGTTTAGTGTTTAGTGTTTGGCGTTTAGGGTTTAGGGTTTAGGGCATACGGTTTATGGTTTAGGTGGGGGTTCCAATATCACCTTCGTTTCACTGTGCTCCCTCGTAAATCCCTGTGCGTGCCGGCCCGCTCAGGCCCCAAGACGGCTCCTGCCCAGAGGACCGCGGGGTTCCACTAGGACCCAGAGTAGGCCCTTATTCCCTTTTTGTAGGGTTTAGGTTCCCTTATACCCCCCTCTAAACCAAACAGAACACCCGTGTTATTCCTAGGTTACTCCTGGGTCTCGTCCATGCTCTGGCATGTTTCTTAGGTCTTGGTGGCCCAATAGTGCCCTTTTCCCCCTTTTTTTGTTGGTTCAAGGTTCCCTCAGAAAGCAACCAACCCCAAAAAGGGTGCTCTTAGTTTAGTATGGTGACAGGGCTACCAAGAGGTGCAGGATGCCAAAAAACTTGACCTGGGGGGGTTTAAGCTAAAGCTTTCTTTCTGGGAAATGTTGAAGGTTCCTATTTATTGGCTTTATAAGGGAAGTATGGGGCTCTTTTGGAAAAGAGTTCTTTCGATCAACTGCCACATAACCCTGCATCTCACCAGCTTGCTTCAAGATCTTCCAGCCAGCGGGCGTCGTTTGCTTTCACCATGTGGGCTGCTGGCCTGTCATGCCATGTCTTGTCCGCGAGCATCAGTCGCCGCTGCCGACCGGCTGGGATTCTGAGCGTATCCCGGGCGGTGCACCAGGCAGCAACGGCTGGGTATGATGGCGATGCCGAGAGTGGCGGAAAGAGCAAGGCAGATCTCTACGACCAGCGCCGGCCTGGATACTAGGTAGGCCCTTGGGTTTTTTTGTTTGACATTTTCCCTTTATTTGGGGATACGAGGTAGGCCCTTGGGATCTTTCACATTTTTTCCCCGTTATTTGGGTTTAAGAGGGTTCTATATGTTCGGGCCATCCTAGGATATGATGCAGCTGTGGTCGAAGAGCTGGTGGAGCAGCTGCATTTGGCGCACACCCGCATGGGCACAGCTGGGCCTGCGGCTGTCATCGAGCTCGGAGCCGGCACCGGCAAGTTTTCCCAATCCCTCGCTCAGAGGATCTTGGCGGACGAACATGGCCGTGACCTTGTGTTCGTGGCCTCCGAACCCGTGGCAGGCATGCGAGACGTCCTGAAGGGGAAGCTACCAGAGTCCCCGCGAGTTGTGGTCGCGCCAGGCACGGCCGACGACCTGCGCGACGCACAGGAGGCCGCTGCAAGTGCAAGGGTGGGCGGTCCTCCTCCTGTCTGTGGTATCGTCTCGGCCCAGGCCTTTCACTGGTTTGCGAACGATGCAACCCTGAAAGAGCTGTCGAGAGTTGTGGCTCCTGGGGGAATCCTTGGCATGGTCTGGAACAACCGCGACACCCGCTTGGAGTGGATTCGAGAGCTTGAGGAGCTAGTGTCGCCCCTGTACCCGCCAGAAGTACCGAGGCAGCAGCATGGGGATTTCATGCAGCCCTTTCTTGGTGAGGCACCCGGCGCCAAAGACTTTGCGCCCATGGGGGTGTTTTGCTCCTCCACTGAGCAGCGGGGCGGCATAGAAATGGTGGTCGGCCGTGTACTCAGTCTGTCGGTTGTCGCTAACCGCCCGACGACCGAGCAGAATGAGATTGCCGAGAGATGCCGCGCAATCGTGCGTGCGCACCTGGCGAACGTAGATGACATCACCCTGCCATACGTGACACATGCCTTTTTCTTCGTGAAGCGGCCCGCCGCAGTCAGCGCGCAGCAGGCGCGTGCTGCATTCGCCGAGGAAGAGCAGTGGAAACTCTTGGGGAAAGACCCGGTGGCTGCACAGACAGAAGGGTGGCGGCCCATTCCTTATGCAAGCAACGCGCGGTCCCCCGAAGGCTTGATTTGGCAAGCTCTGGGACTGGGAAGCTGACGCCCCACCTGAGGCTGTTTCTCCATGCCTTTGGTCAGCACCCTGCAGCGCACATCGAAAAGCGATGCTGACGAGGGGCATCAACGCGGCCTGGACAAACAAAGACTCCACGCATCATCAAGCCAGCGAAGATCCTCTCAAGTGATGCAAGCAAGCAGGCAAGCATTTGTTATCCTTAAACCCTAAGTCCTAAACCCTTTACTAAATCCCAAACCCTAAACCCTAAACCCTAAACCCCAAACCCTAAACCCTAAACCCTAAACCCTAAACCCTAAACCCTAAACCCTAAACCCTAAACCCTAAACCCTAAACCCTAAACCCTAAACCCTGAACCGCAAGCTGTTGTCAGCAGGGCCACCAGGGCCGTGACCGAACCTGCCAAGATTGATTCCGAGCTTTGCCCTCAGCAGCCCAAGGGTTACCAGCTCCCAGTAGTCAGGGTTTAGGGTTTAGGGCTTTGGGTTTTGGGTTCAGGGTTCAGGGTTCAGGGTTTAGGGCTTAGGGTTTAGGGTTTAGAACCCCAAAAGACGAAAAAACAAAATTATCCCCATATTACCCTTATAAGGAAGAATCTCTTTTACATTTTTTTTGGGGGGGGGCTCTTAAGCAATTGCTAGGGGTTACCAGTTACCAGAGCCTTGATAGCCCAGTGGTACCCTTGACCCTAAGCCCTAAACCCTAAACCCTAAACCCTAAACCCTTATAAACATAAGCTCGCCAAAGAAGGGTGCCCTTATTTTTACTACGGTTACTGGGCCACCAAGGAGCCCGAAGGGGCATGTTTGGACAGTTTAGGGTTTAGGGTTTAGGGTTTGGGGTTTGGGGTTTAGGGTTTGGGGCTTAGGGTTTGGGGCTTTTAGGACTTTTCGGGGTTAGGGGTGTAAAACTGCCGGGGCATGAGGATGTGAGATATTCCGAGATGTCTTCATGTGGCTGCGTTAGGGCCTCACACGGGGCCTAAACCACTACACACCCCAAAAGCCCCAAAAAAAACCCGAAACCCTAGAGGCCCTAAACAAGCCCTAAAACCCTAAAAACCCAACAACACTTTGAACTCTAAAAGCCATTAAAAAAAAGCCTAGAAGCACTGAAAGCCCTAAACACCTTGAAAAAGAAACCCTAAAACCCCTAGGAACCCTAAACCCGCATTGCCCAGGGCCGGCCGCCTTGGGCGCCGGCGCGGAAGCGTCTATACCAAGCCGAGCTCTCGGGTTTAGGGTTTAGGGTTTAGGGTTTAGAGTTTAGGGTTTAGGGTTTAGGGTTTAGGGTACTTGTAGAGTAGGTAACCTTTAACCGTTTTGGGGTAATAGAATCTCCTTATAATCCCAAAGGTTAACCTTTAGTTCCCCCCTAGGTACTGGACAACTAGGCAAGGTCTGGTGGCTTAGGGTTGGTAGGGTTTCGGGTTTAGGGTTGTTGATAGGGTTTAGGGTTTGCAGGGTTGTGGTTTATAGGTTTTTTTTTTATTTTTATGGGGCTTTTTATAGGGTTTTTATAGGGTCTTTATAGGGTTTATAGGGTTTAGGGTTGTTTATAGTGTTTCGGGTTTACTTGCGGTTTATAGGGTTATGGGTTTAGTGGGGTGGTTATAGAAATGGTTTATAGGGTTTCGGATTTGCGGTTTATAGGGTCTAGGGTGCGGGAGTCTATAGGGTTTCGATTTTTAGCGGTTTTCTAGCGGGTGTATATATATAAATATAAATAAATAAATATATATATATATGCGTATACATATATATAGGGTTTATAGGGTCTATAGGATATCTGGGGTTTTGAAAGCTTGGTGTTTAGGGTTTCGGGGATTTGTAGTTCCATTGTCGTGTCACAGCCCAGGACCACGCCGCAGAGCTCCGCCGGGTCCTGAGGGGATCTCGGAGCTCGAAAGTTGCTACCAGCACACGGAACCTAAACCTTGGGAAACCCTAGGGTTTAGGGTTTAGGGTTTAGGGTTTAGGGTTTAGGGTTTAGGGTTTAGGGTTAGGGTTTGGGGTTTAGGGTTTCTCTTTGGGATGTTCCCTCCCTTAAACCAACAGTCCTTAATAGAGATTATAGTAGCCCCCGATTGTAATCCCTATGAAGGACTGAGTATAAGGGGAAACATCCACAAACCTAAGCCCTAAACTATAATAGCTTGTGGCCCAGGACAGCTACCATGAGGCGAAAGGTGCATCAAAAGAAGCAGGCGCGTGGAGTGGAACGGGCAGGGGAATCCCATTAAGCCCAACCCTCTAAACCCCGTAAACCCAATAAACCCTGTAAACCCTATAAACCCTAATAACCCTCTAAACTTTAAACCCTAAGAACCCTAAGTAACCTAAGAACCCTAAGAATCCTAAGAGCCCTAAGGACCCCAAGAACCCTAAGAACCCTAAGTAACCTAAGAACCCTAAGAATCCTAAGAGCCCTAAGAACCCCAAGAACCCTAAGAACCCTAAGTAACCTAAGAACCCTAAGAATCCTAAGAGCCCTAAGAACCCCAAGAACCCTAAGAACCCTAAGTAACCTAAGAACCCTAAGAATCCTAAGAGCCCTAAGAACCCCAAGAACCCTAAGAACCCTAAAGCTTTTGAAGCCAAGCCAAAGACGGGAAGGCCACGTACCTGCGCCACCCGCGGAGAGGCCAATTCCGAGTTTAGGGTTTAGGGTTTAGGGTTTAGGGTTTAGGGTTTAGGGTTTAGGGTTTAGGGTCACCATGCTGGGGCTCCCTGAATCGTGGTTGAGGGTTCAGGGTTTAGGGTTTCTGCAAGCGGCCCCAAGGACAATCCAGAAGCAAAATCACTTGTGGATTGCTACAACGGAGGAATAGACCTCAGAAGCTTAATGTGGTCGTCCTTCGGGTTTAGGGTTTAGGGTTACAGGGTTCCCGAAGCCCGAAACCGAAAACTGGTGCCTTGTAATCTGGGGTACCGCCCCAAGAGGTCTCTGGAGCCAAATGTGACCCGTCCTGAAGGAAAGAGAGCAACAAGGAGATGGAGCTTGGACCCCAGCAAGCCTCAGTTGGAATTCGGGGATTAGGGTTTGGGGTTTCGGGTTTAGGGGTTAGGGTTTCGGGTTTAGGGTTTAGGGTTTAGGGTTTAGAGCTAGGGTTTACGGTTTAGGGTTTAGGTCAGACCCTTTAAACCCTTAGGGTTTAGGTCTCATCCGGCCTGACTCGGGCTGAGCTCAGGGTCCGACCACCGGATGGACCCCCAGTCCGCCGGCGCGGCAGCGTCTACGTCCAGCCAGGATCCCAGCACACTCGCCTGCTGTGTGCCTAAGAACCCCCCCCCCCAAAAAAAAAACACAATAAGAAAAACGAAAGTAATCATAATCAGAATAATTAAATTATATATATATATATATATGTATATGATATATATATATATATATGTATATGATTATATATACATATTCTTCCTTTATAAGGGCAAGATAGGAGCTTTTATTTTTGTGTTTTTGGGGGCTCTTAAGCAGACAGTAGTCACTGGTAGGGAATGAGGGTATTGTGACATTGTGGGTACCCTATACCCAGCCTCTTGAGGGGTCTACACATATGTATGTAGGGGGCATGTAAATATATCAAACACCCTAACTCCCTCATTCCCTACTAAGAACCAGTAGGCATAGCAGACAAGAACCGAACGAGATCCTGATGCAGCATCAGGGAGTGGAAGTTGGCTTGCTGAATCACGGTCTTAGGCCAACAATACCCGGTGGCCCTGCCTGCTGCTTACTTCCTGTGCCAATACTTGGTAGCCCAGTGGTACTTGTTTTTCCATTTTGGGTTCTGGGTTTCTAGCCAACAAAAAACTAGCCAAAAATAGTAATTACGCGTATTGTAACACGGGTACTGGGCTACCAAGCAGTGAGGAGACCGAAGGGAGGGAGAGAGACAGACGGGACAAAGAGATACTCTGAGCGAGCAAGCAAGCCAACAGGCAAGCCACGACGTGACACGCAGGGAAGATTAAGAAGGATAGACCGTGAACAGACGCTGACTCAGCATGAAGCCGCCATCTGTAGGGGGATCTCAACAAGCTGGACTGATGGGCCAAGAGCAAAGTCTCTGATGCTGTACATAACCATCTGGACATGAACTGCATCCGTGAATGAAATGGTTCCTTGCTTCAACATGCACAGCTGTGGCAGATTCGACGACTGCATCATTCTTCTGTTTTTTTTTTACGGGTGGCAGGGTGCTGTGCGCAAGTAGCCGGAGCTGCTGAAAGGCTAGCAAGCACCGAAGACGCTTGGCACCGGCAAGGCAAAAGGTCGATGCTCCTTGCCAAACGCTTTGCGTAGATTTGTGTGTAAACATGCTGCCACAGTGATCCCGAAACCCCCAAGGCCCTAAAGTGGGGGATGGCCAAGCTCCCAACGTTAGGCTCAGACAGCCAGGGGGCTAAGCAGTTGCATGCAATGCTGGCTAGTCCCAAACATGTGTGATGACTTCTTCTTGCCCTGAAGAAGTCTGCGGGTATGAACAGCAGTAGACAGAGGCACTGCCCAATCGCTGCGCGCGGAGCCTGAGCCCGATGTGGGTTACCCGTGGCTGCAAGGGTCTGCCATGCGGCGTGTAAGCATCGTGGTCTTGCTGGGAGCTGCCGAATTTGTACTTGTACAAGTTCAAGATCCCGAGGATCTGCTCGTAGACTACGACTGTGTTCCTTGGTGGTAGCCCAGTGGGTTCGTTTTTTTTTGCTTTTTGTTGGTTCCAGTTTCCCTTACAAAGTCACCAACCCCAAGAAATGTTGAAACCCTAAACCCTAAACCCTAAACCCTAAACCCTAAACCCTAAACCCTAAACCCTAAACCCTAAACCCTAAACCCTAAACCCTTAGCAGAAGATGGTTCCCGGGGGCTACCAAGGTTCGGCCTCGGAAGAACAGCTTGCTTGACTGGTCTGGCTGGCTCCAGAAGCTACAGCAGCCCCGGGGGGAGGGATGCTCGGTGGCAGTGTGGTGCCCCTTTTCGCCTTTTTTTGGGGGGGGGGTTTAGGGTTTGGGGTTTGGGGTTTAGGTTTTAGGGTTTAGGGTTCCCTTGTAGAAGTACCTAATCCCAAAATGGGTACCCTGGCCATAAGGTGGCGCTAGTGGGTTTGCTAAGGATGGATGGCCGTATCCCGCGAACCCTTGTCGCTCCTCAACAATGAGAAGAACCGACAGCAGGCCATTGAGGAATGTCCTCTTGGACTCTCGGCAGGCCTTGAGGAGATTTTATATGTACCCTGAAATTGGGTGTTACAGGATCATATACCCTAAAGCCTAAAACCCTAAACCCTAAACCCTAAACCCTAAACCCTGGGTTTTAAGGGCTAACCCAGGGCTGCTGATGGGCGACGTCCTGCAGATGCTGGCCTGTTTCGACAAGCGGCATCCATGCGCCGGTACCTTTGAGAGCCTCTCGAATTGCCAAGCGGTGTGCCCTCTCGCTCTTTGTTATATTGGGTTCCCTTTGAAAAATCAACCCTAAACAATTAAACCCTAGGCCGTAAACCTAAACCCCAAGTTTTGACGGGCACCCCCGGGGTCACCCCCCCCCCCGCCCCCAGTACGGCTTCCGGGCACGTCCGAGGCTTGGTGCGGGAGGGCATGGCATTCTTTGGGCTGCGAGTGCTCATGGGCACGCGCTGGCCCATTTACGAAACCTTGCATTCAGACGTTCCTTGGGGACCAAAGGTTGCTCCTCTTCCCTTCATAGGGATTATACGCAATATTATGCGTAGAGTAGTTCAGGGTGACCCCTAAACCCTAAACCCCAAACCCGAAACCCCAAAGGGGTTCTTTTTCGGTCCACAAGGTGTGGCGCCGACTGGCGAGGGAAGATGCAGACCTGGCCTGCGAAGACCCCGAGAAGCGCATCTTGAACTGGGGAAGATTCAAGCGAGTCTAGGGCGGCCCTTGGGACATTTTTAGACATGTTTATACTTCCCCTTATTGGGCTTAAGAGGATCATATTCAGGATTGTTAATACTACTAATAACATAATTCTATAATGATATAACAATGTAATAATATAATCATATAGTCATATAATAATATAGTCATGTATACTGTAATAACATAATAGTCTAAAATAATAATATAAAACTATACCAATGTCATAATATAGAAAGATAATAATGTAATAACAGAATAATAATTATGAAAAATAATCATCGTCAGAGTCAGGGCCATCCTAGGAGTCTTCGACTTGGAGGATTGGTATCAGTCGGCCGTGGACATCGCCTATGGGCCCGAGTTGGAAGCTTGCTTCGCAAAAAACAGTTGAACTTTCGGCTGTTGGGGTTTCCTTACCTATTTTATAGGAGTCATGAAGCTTAGCCTTTTTTTTATATTCCTTACTCATTTCAAAGGGGTTTCCTTACCTATTTTATAGGAGTCATGCAGCTTAGCCTTTTTTTATATTCCTTGCTTATTTCAAAGGAATCATAAAGCTTAGCCTTTTTTTTCCCGAAAGCATCGCGAAGGGTGCAAAGATGAAGTGCACAGAGTCTAGTGCAAGAGTGAAGTGCACAGACCCAACAACATAGAGTGAAGTGCATAGAGTTAAAGTGCATAGAGTGAATTGCGCAGAGTGAAGTGCATAGAGTGAAGTGCACAGAGTCTAGTGCAAGAGTGAAGTGCACAGAGTCGAATTCACGAGATTTTAGTTCAATTTAGTAGAATTTACGAGATTTCAATAGAATATTAATAGAATTTGGTAGACTTTCGTACCCAGTCATACGTGTCTCAATCAAAATCAAAATAAAAAACCTTGTTAAGGCGATGGGTAGGGTTGTCGTCATCGATCGGGATTGCAACCCGGTCGCAGTGCTAAAACCCTCGTTTTTCTACGTTTCTTGCGCGCCACGGACAACCCTCTGCGGGTTTCGGCGTGGTCGCGGTGCGAAAACCCCGGGTTTTCGCGCATTTTTTCGTGCGCGCGTCAACCCTCTGCGGGTTTCGGCGTGGCCGCGGTGCCAAAACCCTCGTGTTTTTGCGTGTTTGGGTTTCCGCGCGGTAGACGTGCTAAAACTCTCGTGTTTTTGCGTTTTTGACCGAAAACGTCCTTTGTAGTACAGAAGTGGTGCTGTATAGGGCCGGCACGCGCTTTGAGGACCGCCCCCCTGCAAATGTCGTGGTACTCGAATTCCGGGGTGTCGAAAACCTCGCAAGCATTTGTGGGACTCGAATTCCGGGCCTCGGAAACCTCGCAAATATCGTGGGGCTCGACTTCCGGGGAACAATGCTGATATAAGTGCCACTTTGCTTGCCTTCTTGCGGCAGCAGCCGTGTCCGCTTACCCTGAAACCCAAAAGGGATAGCCCAGGGATGCTTGGTGACGCACTTTCTCCAAATCAGCTTTGCGATATTAGGCCAGCTGTGCAACATACTTGGCTGCATTGCAGTTGGAGTCGTCAGAGTGCATCGTTACAATCATGACTCTTGACTCTGTTTCAGTCGTGAGTGTGCGAGTGCGAGTGCACATGAGGGCCCGGCCGAGCGACCCAGTCCATTTCTGCACTTTGTCAGAGCAGTGAGTGCCAGATGCGATCTTCCAGTGTTGCTGAAGAGTGCAAAGGTTGCAAGTGCATCGCGCTGGGGCCAGGACGATCGAGCGCACGGCGGAGTTCTTTTTTGTTGTTTTTTCGTCTAACAAGGAGAACGAGACATGAAGCCTCGATGATGCGCGCCGCCCCGCGTACATCATGAGCATCAGCGGCTTCAATATGGGAATGTCCATAAGCGCGCGAAAACCAATCTAGGACTCTAGGATTCGAGGCGTCGTTGTCTGAAGATGTCCAACCGCCAACCCTCAAATGGTTGACAAAATTCTGTGCTTTCCTTCTCGTTTAGGATACTAAAATGGATCCATCGTTTAGATCTAGCCGCGGATCAAGCCGCCAAGGATTTCATGAATATTGTAGTCATATGTGGGCTCTTGAAATTGGAGAAGCGTCAAACTCCTCCACGTGTTCCCAAGCCCCCAACCACTTTCTGCAGTTGCCCAGTTTTCCGAAACCTTTTTAGTTGAGTCTATCAGTTACAGTCCTTGCCTTATTAACCCGAAACACTGAAGCAACCTGGCGGTGAGTGGTTGCGGGAAGGTCAGCAAGAGCAGCTGTCCGAGGAGAGACAGGCGAGGCGGAGAGCCAGGGATTGGGGTATGTGAATGTGAAGGTTGTCCTAAATTATGGGCCTTTTGGGGGTTTAAATCTAGAGGAATATAAATTACAGTGATGAAGAGAAGGGTTCATATATAGTCAAGGTGCTTTCGCAGGGGCGGTTAAGTTTTGTTATTCTTCAAGCGCCTCGCGTTGAAGGCGCTCTGCAAGAAGATGCGCATCCTTGCCGAGGCGGGCCGCAAGGCCCGCAGGCTCGAGGCTGCGCAGTGACCTGAGGACCCTGTGGCATTCTGTGTGTTTCAGGCAATGTGGTAGGCCAAAGGTTCAAATGTGGCCGAATCCGGAGCTAGTGTTCAGCTGCTTCGGCGAGTGCTGTGAAACGGGCTGGAAGATATTGGCAGCCTCCGTCGCCAAGCGTCGTACAGTGGGGGAATGAAGACGTAACGATTGCAACTGCGGAAGCCTTCTCGCAACTAGACGCATGTTATGTTTTTTTTGCGAGGGGTCATAAGAAAACCTGATTTCCCGAAGATGAGGCTGGGCAAACAGGCATGGCCATTTCCTCGGAGAGCAGCAATGCGAGAAGTCATAACAATCAGCACGTTCCCCACTACGCTGTGACATAGTTGCTGCCCCTGTCAGCTCTTGCAACTCTCATCGTTTGAACCCGCTTCCGGAGAATGCGCGTTTAGGCGTCTTTGAGGTCCGGTCAACACATATCAGGTAACTAAAGAAACGAAGTCCTGACAAATGTAAACCCTTGAAAGAAAAACCCCTAACAAAGCCAGTGTTTTGCGCAATGGCTTGGGATCGCAGCAGTGCTCATTGGTGGTGTATTCAACGGTGCACGCTCACTGCCAAACAGAACAGAGTGACTTACGAACTGGCGAGTGGACAGCGCTGCGTTGCGTGCGCTGTCATGTATTCAGGAATGCCCCATTGTTGAAGTGCCTCCTGAAAGTAGAAACCCGCGTAGAATTCAAAGAAGTAGGATGCCATACTGGGCCATATTCCTTTGAAGCATTGCCACCATCTTTGTCGTTTTCTCAATGACCAGCATCTTTAGGAAGAGCAAGTCAAGGCCCTTCAAAATCTTGCCCTCATTGCCTCAGTCCCTTCGCGCAAACATCCACCTTTACAGATCGCCTTCAACTTCTCGGTGTCCGTTTGCTTCAAGGCACTCTTCACGATGAATAGGTTCTGACTGGCGAGAACCGTGATGTTGTCACATGACCTGCGCGTTCACTGTGGATGGGGGGACTGATGCGAAACACCGAACCATCGCTTAGACTTAGACCAGCGGTGTTCACAGACCTGGGGTTAATCTCGTGGATGGCGTTGCCTCCGCGACTGATCATCAACTTGGTCTTGTCCTTCTGAAAGCAAAATCTGAAGCACCAGGCTCCCCCTTGAACTTGGCCTCCCCGGGCTGAAGCCCTCTTAAGCCCAAAAACCCTACTTGTACAAAACACATCCCACACCCACACCACAGGGGCGTGGGGGCGGGGGGAGGGGGGGGGCGAGAGGGCGAAACCATTTCTGCGCTGTACTGTCTACGAAGTCGTGGAGTGCTGAAGCTGGATTTTGCTGGATGACTTATGGTGGCCTGAGTCACAGTAGAGATATATACATATATATATATATATATGTATGCTACCCCCCCCTCCATGGATCCACCGTTTTGGTGGTCCCAATTACATAAACATGCTTTAATAGCTATATGCTACCCCCCACTAGAGTCTACCTTTTTGCATGTATATTTGGAAGGTTATGATGTCCTTTGCGCAAGTAAAAGTATATTTGCTCACAGTATTCTCGCGTCTCCGGGGCCTACAGGACATTTCTTTTCGCATCACCCTATGCGCTCGAATGCTTGTTCGGCCTACCGTCCTTCCTTTTCAATTTCTGTATTTGAATGTGCAATGCATATACCCTATATACATACATGAAGTGGGTACTTCTTACTTCTTATATTTTTTCTGTGCATGTCCGCAGGAGGCAAGCCCACATACTATAAACATAGGAATTGCTCATGGGATTCAAGGTTTAGGGGTTTAAGCCTCAAGCCCTATCGAGTTGCAAGGTTCTAATCCGAAAGGTTAATGCCTAAACATATTTAAACCCAAAAGGGCTAACTCCGTCAGGATTTTAGAGACAAACCCCGACAAACTTTAAGCCTATAGAGTCAGGTGCATAGAGTCAACACACGGCAAATCGATGCTTTCGGGCCAATCGTCTTCTATAAAAGAACCAAGGAATTTGACTATAGTTGCATTCCTTGGTTCTTGGAGAAATAAGGAAGTCAGTTGGAGGGAGGCAGCCTTGGAATGCCCCCTGGGCTTTGCGACCGCGAATCTGATCAAGGCCATGCTCTGCTCCCTGGTCGCCCAGTGGTACCCGTTTCGCCCATTTTTGGTTCAAGGTTCCCTCATAAAGTAGCCCTAAACCCTAAACCCGAAACCCTAAACGCTAAACCCTCATAAAGTAACATGATGTGGGTCTCTGGGCTGCTGAGAGGCTCCCACACGGAGTCCGTCTGCTTCCGGGCGCACGAGACGATGCTCTCGGCGGTGCTGCAAGATGTCCCGTTCCTTGGGGACTAAACTGAGCCCTAACATGGGGTTTAGGGTTTAGGTTTGGGGCTCATATTTGCCAAAAAAATAGTATAGATCCCGAAAAGGTATAGGGTTCATACGAACCCAAGAGGGGTCTAGTAGGATGATCCCAATTTTTTAGGCTTCACGTGCTCCCCAAGGCTGCAGCGTGTGGCTGGTAGCGGGTGGCCGCTCTTGCATTTGCTGGGCCATGTCTCTCGGGTCGTGAGGCCCGAAGCATCCGAAGCACGTTCTGCTCGTGCCACACGCAAGAAGCAAGCTTGCACTAAACGCCTAGACTTGGGATGTTTCCCCCCTGATTAGGGATTATCATAGGGGCTACTAATAATCCCTATGAAGGACTCTTAGTATAAAGGGGGAACATCCCAACCCTGAGCCCCTAAACCCCAAAACCCCACATGGCACAGGCGTCACAGATTTCAGCTGGACTTCACGCCTGGCGAGTTGCTCCTGAGGCGGTGAGCCTCTCGCTTGAGATTTCCAACCGAGGGGCCGACACTTCGGGTTATTACAGTTTAGGGTTTTAGGGTTCAGGGTACTGAGGGATCAACACTTGTACGCATTTTGTCTGTGGGTGGCTGAGTGGTGCCCTTTTCCCCTTTTGGTTTCGGGGGTTTGTGTGGAACGTCCGCCTGACAGTGACAGGCCCAACGCAGGCAGAGTTCAACGAGAGGCCAAAGACTCAGATGTCTTGCTGGCTCTTAGGGAATGAGGGCCGCTGTGTAAGGCCTTCCATGGTAGTATGTAGGGAAATAAGGTACCTATCGCCTAACGCCCTATGAAGAAGGAGTAAGTTCAAGAAGCCCGGTACACGGGCAGGGACGTGATCGTCGCACAAGGCCTCCCCAAAACCCTAAACCTTAATGCAGTGCAACTGCCACTGAGAGGCAGCCGCGTCCTCGTCAATGCCCATCCCTTGGTGTGGGCTGGGGCCAACAAATCGTTGCTTCCTTACCAACCCAAGACGTGTTTTCTTGCAGGTTACCTCCGAATCCTTCTAGGCTATATATATATATATAACCCTAAACCCTAAACCCTACAACCTGCAAAAAACAGGTTTTGGGTTCTTAAGGCACGCATCAGCCCATGCGACCTTCAGTTGCTGAAACCCAGGCAGGACCTTCAGGCAGGTCGGCAGCGCTATCTGCAGAGTCCGTCGCACAGGGTTTAGGGTTTAGGGCTTAGGGTTTAGGGTTTAGGGTTTAGGGTTTAGGGTTTAGGGTTTAGGGTTTAGGGGCTGTAACAGGGGCCGCAACTTTTGAGGTTGTTGACTGTCTTGTGAAAGTTGAGGTTGGGGGAGTGGGGGAGTTCAAAAGCATGGGCCCTGGCAGGGTAAGCGGGTTAAAGGGGGAGGAGTTCAAAAGCATGGGCTGTGGCAGGGTTATAAGCAGGGTAATTAAATATCGCCATAACTGGTCATAACCTTATCTAAGGCACTTCTATGTATCCCTAAACCCTAAACCCTAAACCCTACACCCTCCAAGTAAGATTTTTCAATCTTGATGGCACGGCCAGGCCATCATCCCCAAGCTTCGCGAAGCCGCGGATCAAACTGCCCGGGGCCTCGGCGGTTCGGTTTGTTTAGGGGTCTTTGGGGGGCTTGTATGTCGGGTTTAGGGTTTAGGGTTTAGGGTTTAGGGCTTAGGGCTTAGGGCTTAGGGTTTAGGGTTTAGGGTTTAGTGTTCTGCAGGGGGGTGGTTCGGGTTTAGGGCGGGGTCTGTTCTTGATCAGAGGTTTCGAGTTCGGGTTTATAGATTTTGGATTTTTTCGGTGTTAGGGGTTTCCCGTGCGGCATCTACGATACTTGGGTTGCAGTGGAGAGCCGTTTTTGTTTGGAAACTCCGCTTTGGTGCTTGCCGTTGTTGGGCACCCTAACCCCTAAACCCTGAGCCCTTATCGGGCTTAGGGCCTAGGGTTTTCTTCGGAGGACTTGGGCTTGAAGGGTCGTTCGGTATGACGGCAGCCATGCCGAGACCCATAAACCCTAAACCCCATGAACCCCGGAAGACCTAAAGCCATAAACCCTAGAAACCCCAAAGGTTAAAACCCAGGAAGCCAATAAACCAGGGTTTAGGGTTGAGGGTTTAGGGTTTAGGGTTTTGGGTTTAGGGTTTAGGGTCTCCGAAGCCCTCCACTTGGGATAATTCCCATTCTACTAGCAGTTCTCAAAAGGGATTTAGAGTGCCCCCTATTATGATCCTTATTCAGGACTGTTAGTACAAAGGGAGAACATCCTAAGTGCTGGTTTAGGGTTTGGGGGTTTAGGGTTTGGGGGGTTTAGGGTTTAGGGGTTTAGGGTTTAGGGTATCCTTAGCCCTCAATCACTAAACCCTGAAAGCAGCGCCCGCCGAGGCCACTAGGTTTGCCTTCAGAGGTGCGCTCTCGCCCGGAACCCCTGCTGCCATGCCACAGTGTCTGGGGGACCCCGAAGCCCTAAACCCGAAACCCGAAACCCTAAACCCTAAACCCTAAACCCGAAACCCTAAACCCTAAACCCTAAACCCTGAACCCTAGCCCTAAACCCTAAACCCTCGCCCTCAATGCGAGTGTCGTGGGGCCTAAATGCAAGACCCTAAACCCAGGATGCGCTTGAAGCTGGCAGCCCGAAGACCCTTCAGAGAAACACCAGCCAGCACTCTAAGCATGCCTAAACCCTAAACCCTAAACCCTAAACCCTAAACCCTAAACCCTAAACCCTAAACCTAAACCCTAAACCCTAATGAAACCCCAAACCCGAAACCCCAACCCCCACCCCCCCGCAAACTGTTTACCGCGCACATGCCTAAATACCCGAAACATTCCGAAGCTGAAGCAAAGTCTTTAAGCCCTTAAAACCCGTTAAACCCGTTAAACCCTTAAGACACTTAAAACCTTTTAGGGTTTAGGGTTTATGGGTTTGGGGTTTAGGGTTTAGGGCTTAGACCCTTTAGAAAAACCTTATCCCTGTGAAGCCAAGACCTGGGCTCAGGCTGCGGTTAATCTACGCTCCGGCCTTGGAATCGATTCTTGTTGTTTCGATCTGGTCTGGATTGCGAGGGCTTTGGGTTTAGGGTTTAGGGACCACGTCTTATACTAACAGTCCTCAATAGGGATTATGATAGCGGGAACCTTCATCCCTATTAAGGACTGCTAGTTTTAGGGTGGGTTGGGAGCTCAAAGCTTGGGTGGCTTGGGTATGTCGGGTAGGGTATCTCATCTCTTAACAGGAGAGCCTTCGCCATTGCATATTGCCCCCCCCTACCCCCACCCGAAATTTCCTGCGCAGACAAAGCCCTGCCCTAAATAAACCCTGATCCCTAAACCCTAAACCCTAAACCCTGATCCCTTAAACCCTGAACAGCCTAAACCCCACCGGGGGAACCCCCACAAGGAACTTTTTTCTATATCCACAGGATCTCTGGATATTGCAATAGACCCCCCAAAAAATCCAAGAAATGGCATAGTTGCTGAGGTTGCTTCTGCTGTAATCACGCAAAATGAAGCTTGGGAGGCTCAATGGGGTTTATAGTCTGACGAGAAGGGGTTGAAGCTCCTAGATCCCATGCAATGGGCATGTGCTTGGAAAACCACAAAAACATTGATGGGGGCAGCCGGCGCAGCAATTCTGCTCAATATGATTCGTATGAATATCTCTTTCTGGAGATCGACGCGGTTTAGGGTTTAGGGTTGAATTAACGGGTTTAGGGTTTAGGGTTTATAGGGTCTATAGGGTTGATAGGGTTTATACGGTTTATAGGTTTAGGGTTTATAGGGTTTATATATAGGGTTTATATCGGGTTTATAGGGTTTATAGGTTTTTATAGGGTTTATATAGGGTTTATATAGGGTTTATAGGGTTTAGGGTTTCGGGTGAAAGTGCTTAGGGTTTATAAGTTGTAAGTCAGTCTTGAAAGTGATAAGGGAGTATAGGGTTAAAAACTGTTTTGGTGTCAGTTTTGAGCCCAGCAGACCATATGCTACACAGCTGCCGACAGGGGCAAGTGGAATCCAAAAAAAGCCGTGAAAACCCCAAAAAAACCCAGAAAAAACCCAAAAAAAGGCAGACTCCAAAAACACAGGGCAAACCCAAAAAAAAGCGTAAAGCGTAGCAACTCCGTAAAAACCCGTGCGATCCCCAAAAAAAGGCGTGCAAAACCCGTAACCGAAATCCAAAAAAACCCGAAAAAACTCCAAAAAATGCCGTGCACCCGACGCCGAAAAATCTTACCATTCTGAGCTCAAGTTTTGTGTCTCACCGCTCTTTGGGAGATGAACCCGCCCGCCACGGCTTTGAATTCCGCCCTCAGTGAACTTTACACGTCGGACATGTGGCTTCCGTCAGAGCAGGCATCCAGAGTTGCACAGCTCGGTCTTCATTTTCTCAGGCCTTCGTCACCTAACAAGAATACTTTGGATGCAAAACTTGCCGTGCCACGGTTTGCATTGTTCCCAAAGCACCATATGGTGTTTCATGCACTCCAGGGCTTGCTTTTTGCATCAATACAGTTTCAATCCTGTCTGTGAGGACAGGACGAGGATTTTGTAGGGCGAATCAGCCGTGCAACGAGGAGGGCGGAACTCGTGCTGTGATATCAGCCTCGCTTCGGCGGTATTTGGTACGTTGCCACGCCGTTTGGAGGCATGAGCTGTATTAGGCGACGGCAAGAGATGGAAAGAGTCTGAACGTTTGCATTTACACCTAGGTGTGTGAATTCCTAGATTTTTCCAGAATCTCTAGGTTTTTACCAATGGTTTGGCTTTTGGTGAAATATCTGGGTTTTTAGGCTTACTCTGAGAAATTCTCGACCCAGGGCTCCCCTGGCAAGCCTTAGGCGACAATGGCACATGGCCCTCGCTTCAGTCCCTACGTGAGCCGCTTCATCGGTCCCTTCCTTGGGCCGCAGGTGAAGCTCATGTTGGCCACAGGGTTTAGGGTTTTAGGATTTTTGGGTTTTTGGGTTTTTGGGTTTTTGGGTTTTGGGTTTTTGGGTTTTTGGGTTTTTGGGTTTTTGGGTTTTTGGGTTTTTGGGTTTTTGGGTTTTTGGGTTTTTGGGTTTTTGGGTTTTTGGGTTTTGGGTTTTAGGGTTTTAGGGTTTTAGGGTTTTAGGGTTTTCGGGTTTTCGGGTTTTCGGGTTTTAGGGTTTTAGGGTTTTAGGGTTTTAGGGCTTTAGGGCTTTAGGGTTTTAGGGTTTTAGGGTTTTAGGGTTTAGGGTTTAGGGTTTAGGGTTCTCAGAATAATGGTCCCCCCTTTTTGGGTGCGTCCCCCAAAAAGGGACCCTGGTTTAGAGAATCCTTCATAGGGGTCGATCGTCTCCTGACAAGTTGTGTTCCTCTTCGTTTTTTTGAGGGCGTGAGGGAGTATTGTAACTGTTTTGACTCGTCGTTTCGTTCGAGTTGCAAGGGGCGTATCGACTTATCTTGGAAGGGGCCTGTTATCCATCATCATACCTGCTATTTGGGGTCGCCCTAAACCCTAAGCCCAAAACCCGAAACTCTAAACTCTAACAGAGGTCGGGCATCTGCGCTTGGGATCGGGGACGAGCTGGTCGTGTTCTGCCTGGACGAGGAGGATGGGTCAGAGGATCATTGCAGAGTTGGGTTTAGGGTTTTAGGGTTTAGGGTTTTAGGGCTCAGGGTTTGGGGTTTTAGGGCTCAGGGTTTGAGATTTTAGGGTTTAGGGTTTTAGGGCTTTAAGGTTTAGAGTCAAAACATGGGGCCCTTTTGGTACCCTGAACTCGAATGAGATTTTTGCATATGGACGCTAAAACAAGGGTCTCATAATGTTGACCAACTCCCACGTAGCAAGGGCAGTAAGCCCTAAACCCTAAACCCATTGCAGACCTGGACAACAGCCTACTCGGCAAGGAAGGAATTGGGCACCTTATATCCCCTGCATATAGTCTTGAGGGATTATATCAGCTACCTAATCTCCCTACCCCAAACCCTAAACCCTAAACCCTAAACCCTAAACCCTAATCCCTAAACCCTAAACCCTAAACCCGAAACCCTACTCAGATCCAGACAATTTGCACCATGCGAGGCCTTGGCCAGCTGTCGAGCTGTGCAGGGGCACTGCGTTCGAGGAACGCCTTCGCAGAGACCTCAGGCTTGTCTCAAGCTACTGGTTCTTCGTAGGGAATGAGGGAAGTGGGTACTCTATATATATATATGTAATCCTTGAGAGGAATATATAGGGGGCATAAGGTACCTAATTCCATACCGACGAAGAACCAGTAGGTGCAGGGCGTGGTGCGCGAGAGAGAGAGAGAGAGAGAGATATGCGCTGCAAGCCAGAGAGACCAAGAGAGAGAGGTAGAGAGAGAGACAGAGTGGGAACGAGGATACTGAACAAGTTCACCTTACCGCTGGTGCCCTGCTCAGCTCATTGTCTGTAGTAGGGAAGTCAAGACTAAGGTACCTGATTCCGAAATTCTCCACTCAGAACTCATAAGAACGCCTCTGGTCTGGAGATGTCCCAGGTGTTGTTGCAACACGACTTCGATGTCATGTGGACCGATTCTGAGCCGGTACTGAGTTTTGCTTTCAGTTTGGGAGCACAAAAAAACCCACTTGAGGTTGGATCTGGACGTTTTCCTGTTCCAATCACCCATGACGCCTGTAATCCGGCAACTGCGGGAGAACACGGCGCTGGAGCTGCTGATCTCCGGCTCGTTTGCTGTGGATTGCATTTGTTACCGGGCATGCATTCATCAACACATGTTTGGTTCCAGCACATGTGATGATTCATGCTGTTGCCTGTGGTCAGATGTGTAGAATTGCCGCGGAAGACTTTGCTTGCCGAGGTAGTGGCTGCTTGGCTGCAATCTCGTTCAACTGGCCATCTTGAGTGATGGAGTTCTCCAAGCCTGACAGGCATTGTTCTTTTTCGGTCGACGGAGTCTGTACGATCCTGGACGCTCGGCTGCACGCGGAAACCAGCACATGCCACTCCTCCATGATCCGGCCATGAAGAAATCGCCGCGCCGCACCAGGTTGGCCCAACTGCTGGCACCTGCCTCAGCATCTCCATCTGGGCATGGTCCGATTGTTGAGAATGTGATAATCGCTTATAACACGACTCAGGTATGGATGTACGAGCATCCTTATGAGCATGACCAGAAAGCTTTCAGCGCCTTTTTGCGCGCGGGGGAAAGAGTGGCGCCGGGAGCTTACGAAGCTACTCTAGAACATACGGAGCACATAGGGCGTTCTTCTCCATGATGGGTCCTTCTCGGGATCTCCAATCTGTGAAAACATGCATATATATATATATATATAGATACAGACATACATACGTACGTACATACATACATACATCATGTATAGTCTTGAGGGCACTTATAGCGTAGGGCATCAAAGAGGGCTTATGAGGTTGGGGTTGTGTTTGCATAGGAGCCATGATCAACTAAACCCTAAACCCTAGGTTCGAAAGCGAGTTGCCAGTGCCCCCAGAGTGCCTGCCTCAGATTCCACGGCAGCAAGCCCGCATGTTGCTCACACATGGTGGCAAACATTCGCCTGACGGAAATCTACCTATATGTATATGTACATGTATATGTAAGGTGTAATCTTTCTTACATATATGCACTTGTGTTCATGTATATTCATATGCAACCCCCCCCCCCCCCCCCCCCCCCCAGCCAACCCGAGTCCACTGGTTCCTTGGCAGTCCGGTCCTCTGGACTTCAGTCGTCCCATGTTCTTGGGTTTAGGGTTTAGGGTCTAGGGTCTAGGGTCTAGGGTTTAGGGTTTAGGGTTTAGCAACCCTAAACCCTAAGCCCAACGGATAACCCTAAAGCCTGAACCCCGGAAGATCAGAGGCCAAGATCACAAGAATTCCCTGACCCTTGGACCTTGGATCTTGGACCTTGGGAAAGGAATTTGAAATATGGACTTGTGAAACTAAGTAGGCCCTGGGGATATGTCATATTTTCCCTTAGCGGGCTTAAGACTAATATCTAGCAATATTCTAGGGCCATTCTAAGAAAGCTTCGAGTTCGGAGCTCCGCGGGTTAAGCATGTTCATAAAGTACCGAACTGAAGATGTTCAGTTGAACTCTGAAAGATCACTGTGGAAGTGTTGTTGAATCATCAATGGCCTATCCCAGAATACGTAAAATCCCGATTGCATTTTCCAAAGCCAAAGATCGCTGGGAAAGCTGCCGTTGAACCGTCAACTGCCGATCCCAGAGTATTGACAGCTCTTTACGAAACACAGCAAAACGATTTTTTAGTTCAAAGCTGAGGAGTCTGAAGATGACGAAAATTGTCAAAGGAATCCTCAAAGGTTAGACTGCTGGGTGGGCGAATTAACCATGACAAAGGTGGAGGGGGAGGTGTATCCGCCCCCAAAATTTGTGGTGGATTTGTAAATCTACATATGTATAGAGAGAGAGAGAGAGAGATTCGAAGACAGAGAAAGATAAAGAGTCCTTTGCTTACATAGTCGTATTCCAGCACCAACTCGGAGGAAAGTGCCCAAATGGGATTTCCTGGACCCGGAGACCGAGTTTGTCTCCGCACGACACGTGGATGTGGCTGGCTGGACAGGCCCGGAGGTTTAGGGTTTAGGGTTTATAGGGTTTAGGGTGTAGGGTTTAGGGTTTAGGGTTTAGGGTTTAGGGTTTAGGGTTTAGGGTTTAGGGTTTAGGGTTTAGGGCTTGGGATTTAGGGTTTAGGGTTAGGTCAATGTGGCAGCGCAAGTTGGGACCGCTGCTTGAATTAGAGCCATCATCGCCCTGAACAGGGTTATAAGTTACTATATCTTGGCTTAGAAATCAATCCCCAACCGTAGTCATTTGTCCGCAAGGGCTGCTACTTGTGGGCATGTCATACACATGCTTAGCATCTGAGAGGCATGGCTTTTGGGATCAAAGTCGCTATCATGCACATTGACAATCGTTGAAGTCGGTGTTTGTACTGCTTGCTCATAGTAGGTCCATGACTTCGCTCATGACAAGAAATAGAAGTTGACCTCCCGGCGGCGTCACGCAGGCGATCCTGACAAGATCATTGCGTTTCACCTTCTTCACGGTGCTGCTCGTCGGATTCTAGCTGAACCCTATATCCTAAACCCACTTCTGTGCACTGCTCGACTGCTCAGCCCCCTTCCCAGCTTAGGACAGTGATGATGCTGATGCCAGTCGACAGCCGGGCGCTTGGACGGTTGAGGGACTCGATGTTGAGTTTAGGGTTCAGGGATTGTTGCGCTTAGGGTGCGCCAACCCTACCCTAGTTTATAGGGTCTACCTAGACGTTCGCAACTTGTCTGCGCCTGGGATTGCGCAGCTTGTCAATTACAGGGGGGAGTTGTGAATATGAGGTCAACGTTCGGGCGTTCGGCTTCAGAGGTCTAGGTCCGAACTCGGGAGCTTCTAAATTGTTTTGAAGGATTCCCAGCACATTAGAGGTGGGGATTTACGAAAATAGCTTGTCGAGGGGGGCCCGCATGAGAACAGTGACTTACAAGGGGCCCAAACCCTACACCCCAAACCCTAAACCCTAAAGCCTAAACCCTAAACCCTAAACACTAAACCCATTGTTTTGGGGGGTTTAGGGTTTAGGGTCGCTGCACTCGTCACGTCCAGCAAGGTTTGCAGCTCGGCACGGCCTCGGCATAGGCTACGAACCTTTGTTGGCAGATGCCCCAGTTATGCTACCAGGGTTTAGGGTTTAGGGTTTTGGGTTTAGGGCTGTATGTTGCCAGGTTCGGGTACTTGAAGCTCCAGCCGTTGGCATTGCAGGACCTGTTCTTCAATCGCACTGACTTTCCGGAGTGGTGGGCTCAGGTTTGATCTCTCAGCCGGATAGCCAACCCCAAGTGAGCTGCTTTCACTTTCACCCGCATCATGCTACGCCAAACCCCTAAACCTGTTTTCCATGCCAGGCCGGGCCATTAAAACCCTAAAACCCCTTAAAAGGGCTCTTTACAGGGTTGATTATGGGGATTCTAGGGCTATTATACCCTAAAACCCCTTAAAGGGCTCTTTATGATATAGGGTTGATGATGGGGATTCTAGGGCTGAAGAGCCCCATCCTGGTGAGGCTGTACAAGACCCCAGTGCTGCCTCATCGTTTGTCGCCCGAGCTGCGGGATGCGCTATGGAGGCCGGAGAGGGAACTGCTAGAGTTTGGGCATTTTAGATGGCTGGACCGGTTTTGGGATTGCAGTCCCTTTTGAGGAGCTTAGGCTTCAGCCCTCAACCCTTGCTGGTCATGTTGGGACGGGTATGTTGAACAGCTGCTAAATTGTAAACTTTTGCGCCCGCCACCTCAGCGTGTGCGCATTGGTCCCAGCGCAAGACTGGTTCGAGGAGAACCAGGCGGTGGGTCGCAGGGGTCCCAGGGAGGTGTCAGCCAGCGGTCCCACAGGGGGGGACGGATCCCAGAAAGTCTCCACAGACAGAAAAACGCCTTTTGTGTTTGGGCGTGATCGCTGTGGGAGGGGCCCAAGCCTGGAACCCCCCAGAGCATCGATTTCGGAGGGAGGGGGGGGGGTGTCGGCGGGGGGAGGGCGCACAGAATTCTAAAGTCACATTGGCTTTACAGGGTTCTAAAGCCCTAGGTTGCATCCGGTATACAAGGGGTATATCCGAACACTGCCCATTTGAGGGCTCCATGTAACTACCGATGCCTTGATGCTGCTGACGGTTGCAAGCGCGAGCTGAGGTCGCGCTGGCCAGCCCCCAGGCCAAAGTCTCCTGCGAGGCGGGATTTCGGGCGTATGGCAAAGTTTATGGGGTGTCTTTATAAATTTCACGTAAGGATGATGGAGTTTATGTAGGGTTTGATGGGGTTTTGGGAGGGTTTGTAGGATTTGTAGAGTTTGGGGTCACACCTGCCTGCCTGCACAGATGTTCACCTGGCGCCTGCGTCAGGTGCAACGAGACGGTGCCCATGAGATTTTGAAGCTCGCGATTCGCGAAGCATGTTTCGTTCCTTGCAGGGATGCAAAATGGCATTTAATGCACCCTAAACCCTAAACCCTAAACCCTAAACCCTACTAATGCACACGGTCACAAGACTTGCGGGCTGGTGGGTGCTTGGTTGTTTGTCGGTTGGGTTTAGGGTTTGGGGTTTAGGGTTTGGGGTTTAGGGTTTAGGGTTTAGGGTTTAGGGTTTAGGGTTTAGGGTTTAGGGTTTAGGGTTTAGGGTCGTTGTCGGTTGGTTGTTGTTGGTTGATTGTTGCTTGGTTGCTGTTCTTGCTTGCTTGCTTGCTTGCTTGGCTGGGGTTGCTCTTTCTTTTGTGTGTTCCAGTGTTCGTCTTGTTTCCTCGGGTCTGGTCCTCTATTCGCTTCCTTGTGCGACTGTCGTTCGGCTAGCCGGTGGGGCGGTCCGACTGCGGGCGAGTTGAGCGAGTTCATTCACTGGGTTTAGGGTTTAAAGTTTAGGATTTAGGGTTTTGGGGCTTGTTAAGTTGGGCTTTTGCGGGGTTTGGTGTTCCGGGCCTGTTTGGGGGTTATACAATTCACGCGTCAACTTTGGCATTTTGTGGCAGCGCTTTGGCTTAGGAGTGTGTGCAGCTGGAAGTGAGCGAGATGTATGGACCTGAGGTCCGTCTCAAGCCACAAATGTTCATTGATCCATTGGCATTTCTCCTTGAGAGAAGCAAGGAGCCCCGCGCACACACACACACAAAAATAGAAATAACATCCAACAAACAAAAGCAAGTTCACAAATAAACAACACAAGCACCGACGCGCCCGCCGCACGCACGCACACGCCCGCGCGCCCGCACGCCCACGCGCATCCGCGCTCGTCCGCGCTCGCACATTGTCCCGAGACCCGACTTCGGTTGTTTAGGGGAATCTGCCCGAAATTTCTACAAGGGTTTAGGGTTTAGGGTTACTAAAACTCCTCTGTTGCATCCGGAACACTTCACCCGGCGATTACTTTCAGTACCTTCATTGACACCCCAAGTACAAAATTGGGACATGAACCTTACAAGTAGGGACATCAGCCCTCTCCATACATACTTGAGCGATTGGGCCTGAAGAGGCGGGCAAAGAGAGTTCTCCGCAAAACAATGCAACACAATACAAGCATGTCCATGACCACAGCATAGAAGAGCCGAAAGCTTTCTGCTGGCAGAACCTGACCAGCTTCTGTGGGTTCTGCAGCCGTTTCAAAGCAAAAGCGGTTCAGCCCGAAGGCAGTTAGCCTAGTCTGCGAAAATCATCCGCAATGCTGGTCCTGTCCACCGTGATCCTGCTGCAGTCTACCTTAGCACTGCGGTCAGAGTACCGGGCCGGGAGCAATATCAATCGCCAGAATGAGCACAACCACTACACACCAGAAGAATATGCCACTTGCAAGGCATACTGTCAGATGTTGCGATACTGGGTTTCGGGGTTCGGGGTTGCTAGTGCTGAAGTTTGAGTTGCTACTGGTTCGCAAACCCTAAACCCCAAACCCTAAACCTAAGTGATCTAGTCGGCATCTTGAATCTGCCCCACTCGACCATTGTCCTACTAATTGCTTAAGAACCCCCCAAGAAATAAAAGAATATTATTCCTTAAGAGGGCAATATAGGCAATTTTGAGTTTAGGGTTTCGAGTGGCTCATCAATGTGAGTTTATCCCGGATCCCACCCTGATTCTGTCAGCAATACTGTGAAGGACTTGTGTCCTCTTGCGCCTGGATGAGGGTACTGCCCCCCCCATTTATGTAAGGTGCAATGCGCTGCAAAAACTACGGTGATGAAGATGAAGAAGAGGAAGAAGAAGCCGCCTGTGATGATGATGATGATGATGATGGTGATGATGGTGACGACGACGACGATTATGATGATGATGATGATGATGATGACGATAGCCAGGGCTTTCCTTTGCAGAGCGTCAAGGAGTTTCATAGGGTGCTCCTTCGGGTTCTCGAAGGGTTTTATCAGGATTTGTGTGGGGTATCTAACCCTAAACCCTAAACCCTAAACCCTAAACCCTAAACCCTAAACCCTAAACCCTAAACCCTAAACCCTAAACCCTAAACCCTAAACGGCAAGCGAGGCGAAGATGATTGATGAGTACTCGGCGACATGGGAGAAGCTCGGCATCGAGGTGCGGGGGCTTCGTCATGCCCAAATTCCCTTTCCAAGAGGGGTTTGGGGTTTAGGGCTTAGGGTTTAGGGTTTAGGGTTTAGGGTTTAGGCTTCAGGGTTCAGGGTTCAGGGTTTAGGGGGGTCCCCGTGGAGTCAGTTTCCTATCGTTATGGGCTCAACTTGGGGTTCCCCTCACTTGGGGTCCATAGATACACCCCTAGCGCGATACCCCAAAGCTCTGAACCACCCTAAACCCTACAAACCCCCAAACCCTATGTAAACCCCCAAACCCTATACACTACACCCCCAAAGTTCTGTAAAGAAGCTTCCAAGCCCGAAAAGCACCGAGGTTGAGGTCTTTGACTCGCTGGAGGAGCTTTCCAGATCCTTGGTACTGAGCTGAGCAGCTAGCCGTAACCTTTGAGCTTGTAGGGAGTTTACGTATAATACTTATATACACAATACATATGTATATAAGTGTGTATACATATATATGTATATAGCTTCTCGTACCATGATCCAAAGTATTGTTAACCCTAAACCCTAAACCCTAAACCCGAAACCCTTGGTTGGGCCCGGGCACTAAACAACAAAGGATCCTACGCTGCGCCATGGAAGGGTCCCGGGGACAAGACCGTGGGCAGCCACAGTTCGGAGGATACTCCGAAGTGCCTCTGGGAAGTGGCAGCAAGGGGTTTTTTGTGGGGTTTGGGGTTTAGGGTTTGAGGGTGTTCTTGGGGTTCTTAGCAGGGGTTGCAGAAGGCTCTACAGGGTTCATATTATACCGGGTCCTTGCACTAAAGATCCCACCAATGAGGGTCTGGTGTAGTGTCCCCGAGTTTTCTGGTGCACTCCCACTTGTCTGTGCACTACGGTTTAGGGTTTCAGGTTTGTAAAGTTGACGGGTGTTCGGGAGTTTCGGCTGCAGCTTGTGGGTTTCCGGCAAAGGAGTCGCAGGATGTGGGATTGAGGATCCAGGCATTTTCATGAAAGCAGAGATTGATTGATTCTCTACGAGGTGCACGAATGGAAGTTGCTGGGCTGTTCGGATGGAGGAGGTGGTGCCTTACTTTGCCGAAAACGAGAGCTCCGAAGTACTCCTCTATCATGGAGGTGACCTCAAGGCAAATGAGTTTGCAGACGGCATCAAGTTCCATGTGGGGACGGACGAACTGGCCGGCCCTGCATTCTTCACCACCCACAACTTGTACTTGGCCCTCTACTATGGTGGGAAAGGCATGAGATCATGGGCTGACCCGTCAAATTTCTCCGACCGCGAGTTCTACCGCATGGCTATGGAGATTAAGGTTCAGAATCCACAAGCTTGTGAAGGAATCGTTCCAGACTGGAAGCTCCTAGCACTGTCAGCTTGACCTGAACACCCATGGTTTGAGTTGCGACCACCACTACTACCACTAGCAAGACGGGTGCCGTTTTCACTACCGCCTGCCCCCCCCCCCTCCTCCTGGTAGTCATAGTCTCGCTTCCTTGCCATGGCAAGTCAAGAAACGCAGATTACAACCACAAACTTCAGCGGCAGCGGCAGCGGCAGCGGCAGCGGCTGCCCGCCACCAACAACAACAAGGAACAACAACCCCCGGGCCCTGCAGCTTCCTGCGGTTGGTGGGCTACTTGGTGAGGACGATCCCGGGGGCGGCACTAAGGGGGCTTAACCCTCGATGAGCACTCCTCACCCGCCACCCAGTCCGCGCTGCAGGGGCGACAGTGCCTTTGGTTGTTGGTGCGGCGCGTCGTAGTTGTCATGCGTGGGCGGCTTCGTGTTTCTTGTCTTGGTGTGTCCGTTCACTGCAGTCGCCCTAGCACCGTGCCCCATACCCCTTGTCTTCGCTTCGGTGTTTTTTGGGTTCTGTGACTTGCTTGTGTCCTGGCTGTCTCTGATGCTGCTGATGAAATATTTTAGTTGCATCAGCGGCTTGTCCTTGTTGGACTGCTGTCGTCAAGTTTAACCTTGCCGCGCACTTGCCCTGGGCTTGGTGCCTCCCCGCGCATTGGCTGTGTGTGCCTGCCCTCCTTCCCTTCTGTATATGCGCTGCCCAGGGGCTTTGTGCCTCCCCGCGCATTGGCTGTGTGTGCCTGCCCTCCTTCCCTTCTGTATATGCGCTGCCCAGGGGCTTTGTGCCTCCCCGCGCATTGGCTGTGTGTGCCTGCCCTCCTTCCCTTCTGTATATGCGCTGCCCAGGGGCTTTGTGCCTCCCCGCGCATTGGCTGTGTGTGCCTGCCCTCCTTCCCTTCTGTATATGCGCTGCCCCTGGGATTAAATATGATTAAATGGATTGGCTTTGTGCCTCCCCGCGCATTGGCTGTGTGTGCCTGCCCTCCTTCCCTTCTGTAGTTGCGCTGCCCCTGGGATTGGCTTTGTGCCTCCCCGCGCATTGGCTCTGTGTGTGTGTGTGTGCCTGCCCTCCTTCCCTTCTGTATATGCGCTGCCCCTGGGATTGAGTTTGTGCCTCTGCGCGCATTGGCTGTGTGTCGCTTTGGCTGTGTTGGTCTGTTTCTCTTGTTACGCGCTGCCCCTGGGTTTGGCTTCGTGTCTCCCCGTGGATTGGCTGTGTGTGTGTGTGCCTGCCCTCCTTTCCTTCTGTTTATGCGCTGCCATGGGTTGGGCCCGTGCGTTGGCTTTGTGCCTGCCCTGCCTCCCTTTTGTTTGCGCTACCGCGAGCTACTCCTGGGCAGGGCTGGGGTCTGGGTCTCTCTCCCCTCCCTTTGCCTCTCCCCCGTTCTGCCGCAACTTGGTCTGCAGTTAGCTAGATACCCCCTCTTGAACCCTCTGCGGAGGGTGGCAAGGACGTTTACGGAGCCGTGCCGAGATGCAGGGGAGGACGAGCGCGGGCGGCTGCAGCTACCGCTGCTAGCCTTCTCCACTCCACTCCACTCCACTCCACTCCACTCCACAAGGAACAACAACAACAACAACAACAACAACAACAACAACAACAACCACAACAGCCACAACAGCAGCAACAACAACAACAACAACAACAACAACAACAACAACAACAACAACAAGGTCACCCACCAGCCACCAGCCACCAGCCACCAGCCTCCAACCAACACGCAACGAAGAGAACAAAGAGAACAAGGAGAGCAAGAAGGAGAGCAAGGAGAGCAAGGAGAGCAAAGAGAGCAAAGAGAGCAAAGAGAACAAGCAACAAGCAACAAACAACAAACAAACAAACAAACAAAAACAAACAAACAAACAAACAAACAAACAAACAAACCAACAAACCAACAACAAACAAACAAACAAACAAACAAACAAACAAACAACAAACAAACCACAACAAAACAAACCAACCAACAAACAATCAAGCAAGCAAGCAAGCAGCAAACAACACCAACCAATGAAAAAACAACTGAGGTCACTGAGCTCAGTAACACAAGTTCAATGTCTGACGCTGCAAGTATGTTTTCGCACAGGCATCAAGTCTTCGTTGGCAATGCCATCTGGTTTTCAAGCCTGGAGGACCAACGCACCAAAGTTCCCAAACGAGGCCCACTACTATGCACACGGACCGAGGTCTTTTCACACAAGCTCTCATATCTTCAAGCTTCAAGTGTGTTAGGAGAAACTGCCAAAAGTTCTCAAAGGAACAGCGACTTTCAATTAAGCGTGTGTCAGCACGAATTGAAAAACTGCGCGCAAGATGAGGACCTTCTTATCCCAAAGGTTGACATCTTGAGCTGGGTAGCGTAGCAACAACAAGAACCACAACGACCACTCCTCCTCCTCCTCCTACTAATACTACTCCTCCTGCTGCTGCTGCTGAACGAGGAAGTTGAAGTTCAGATGATTCTACTCTCGCATCCCGGCCCAAGGTTCATGAACGAGATGGCGACAGCTTTCAACTCGTCCTTGGACGACATGATTCAGCAGCCATGCGGTCACGAAAAGTGCTCTTTTGTGGCCGTAAACTGGAATACGGACGGCACAGAAGGATCCTTGGATCTTTGGGTCTAGGCTGATTACTGCTTTGATTTCTGCTCTTACCATTAATTACTACAGTTATCATTCGTCTTCCCATGGCTATCATTACCACTGTTGCCGATTGTTATTGCATGTTTCTCTGCTGAGGCGGTTTCGCCCTCGGTTGAGTTTTTTTCGAAAGCTTCGTGTATTTGGGGCTTATACTTTGCAGGATCAGGGTGGCTTCCCTACGAATTTCGCATGCTGCCGGACAGCCTGGAGACCTGTGGGTTGAAGATCTCAAGAATCATCATGGTTCGGGATGACGAGGAGCAGACATTCAGCGACTTCCGACATAGCGATGCCTGGAGGGGCACTGCCCTGATATTCAATCGACTCTACATGAAGCACGATGAGGCGGCGAAGGAGCTCGCAGGTGGATCAAGCTCATCAAGCAGGCCTTGACTTCCGACTGGAGCGGAGCAGCTTCGAAGACGCCCATGCAACCCGAAACGCGAAGAGAAACAACGAAGATTCCGAAAAACATGACCGGTTAAGATGGAGATCTAGAAGATCATAAAACGATGCAAGTGATGCGGGGGCCATGTTATTGGGAGATCACGAATCGTTTCGAAAATTAATTGGAAATGGAAATATTTTTTCCATTTTTATAATTTAATTTTGTTTATTTTTAATCAACATATGAAAAGGATAATTAAGCAACGTTGTTTTCTATAAGCAAGGCCATATAGAGATACGATTCTCGGAAATCGCCCGCGTAATATTTTGCCTGCAACGCGTAGGTTTGTGTAGACTCCACGTAGCCAAGTCTACGTAGTACCTCCGCATAGGTTATTGGTATATAGTATGATGTATATATATATATATATATATATATATTAGGCAGAAATGATTTATTATTTATTAATATATATATATATATAATTATAATTATACATATATAATTTCTGTATAGGTATGGCATAGGTTCTATGTAGCCTGTGCGTAGGTGTAGGTATCATATTCAGCGTCGTACCCATCTACTAATATCTCAAATCGGGTTGGGCAGAAAATCGGGTAGAGTTGGGCAGAAATCTTCGGGTTTAGGGTTTAAGATTAGGAAATGTTGTGTTGGCGCTTTGTTCTAGGGCTTGCTACGTAGCTCCGCGTAGGCACGTGGTAACAACATACTCCGCACGTAGGCTACGCGATTACTAAATATGAATTTACACGTAGGCCCGCACAAGAGGTCAATGTTAATATATAACCCCATACAATGAAATAAAAAAAATTCTCAATTTTCTGATGAGGAAAGTTTGATATATAATTACTCTAATGCTTCTGAACTAGGCATCTTCTAGAATGACACTATTTTATTACTTTTTTAGATTTAGAAATCTCTCGTATCATTATCTTTATATATTATTTATAAATTTCGTCAAGAATTTGAATTTAAAAGATATTTTCTCTAGAGAATTTCATTTCTCTTGTCATTCTTTATCTTTCTAAGAAATCTCATAATTAAGGATAATAAAAGATATTTAATTATATCGAAATATATCCCCATAAAAGGCTACGGGCTCGACCCTTATTTTCGCTCTGCGGCCGCCTTGTCGGATGCCCCGCCTCCTCTTCCGGTCCATTTGGCTGCTTGTGAGGGCCTTGCAGGGGGATCCTGAAAATTGCGGGAATTTTAACACTTTTTGTCTAAAAATCCTGGGAATTTTGGGAATCACCCGGAGCTGAAAATTCCCGGAATTTTAGGAATTGTCCGGATTGAGGTTTGGGCTTGCCGGGTTGGATTTTAAGGTTCCAACACAACAGGGATGACGTGGGAGCCCCTTCACCTTCAAGGAAATCTTCAAGGAAATCTCTTGGTCCAGAGTAGTTCCGATGATGGTCGCCGCCCGCCAGCTGTTCAAGGGGGTTCGGCCTCACGATCACATATCAGTAACAGCTCTCGAAAAATCCTAGGAATTTAAAATTCCGGGACTTTTCGGGATCCCCCGGGTTCTGGGTTTTACGCTTTACGGTGTAGGGTTTTGGGGTTTAATAGAAATTGTATAGGGTTTGTGTCCGGAGTTTTGTCGTGTTTTTGGGGGGTTTTGTTTTTTGCTTTTGCTGTAATGGTTTGGGTTCTGTCGGGTGTGGTGGGGGGTGGGTGGTTTTGGGTTGCTGAGGGGTTGGGGCTGAAAGGCTGGTGGGGTTTTGGGGGGTTTTCCCGAATGCCCGTGGTGGTGGTCCGTGGTCCCGTGGTGGTTCGTCGTGGTGGTCCCACAGCGTGGTGGTGGTCCCATGTTGGTGGTGCTCCTTTGGTAGTGGTGGTCTGTCGTGGTGGTCGTGGTGGTGGCAGTGTCCATGGGGGTGGTGG